TCCGGCTCTGTGTGAGCTGGCTGCCCAGCATCCTGCTGATGACACCTGCCACCACCGCCAAATGCTCTGTGGCTGCCTCGCATCCTGACACTCTCCCCGGGCATCCTGGGGGAGGGCAGCCCCCCGCCCCCGAGGCTCAGGGCCTGGGGAGGGGTCAGGAGATGCATTCCTGTGGTTCTTTTGTCCTATTTTAATAGGGCCCTGTTGGCAACAGTGCCTACACTTTTTTTGGTCTCACCCCCTGGAACAGACTGAGCCAAGAGAATTCCAGGCCTGGGGAAGTGGGGAAAGAATTGTGGGGCCAGGGCCACTGAAGACTTTCCTAGGACGCAGCTCCTCTCTCTCCTGAAAGCCCCAACCCACAATGTGTCACACAAACTGGGTCCACATTTCACAGTAAAGAGAATTCTTTATCATGCTACGTTGAGGTGCAGCTTATGAGTCGTGCACGATCAAATATTAACTTGGATTTTCTTTTCTTTTCGTATTTTGAAGGCAATAATTTTCCCCAGGTGTCGGATGTGGTAGGCCTTTGCCCAACTGGGTCAGAGGCACTGGGCTGTCTTTGAAGAGCCTCTTGCAGAGGCTGCCACCCCTCACCCTCCGGAGCCTCTTGCTCTCAAACCTCCTGTGAAATCAACATGCTCGTTACACGTGAGCGTCTCTGCCCGCTCTGACCCCTCCTCAGCTCCTTCTTATACATCTCCACATTCCCCAACAGCCTGCTACCATCCCTTGCAGCACCCGCCCAGCCCCAGGGGCCACGGGGCCTGAGTGGTTAAGAGATCCCAGTCCCAGGCGCGGAGCTGAGCAGCTCTCCCTGCTCCCTGCCCGGCTCCAGGTGCTTGGGGTCCCCGCTGGTCTCCCCTGATCGTCCTTGTGCCTCAAACCTACACTGTAGTTCATCATGATGAAGATGAGGTCAAGGTTGGAGATGCCAACGAAGGAGCAGAGAGTGGCCAAGAGGGTGCCAGGGGCAGATAGCCTGGGAAAAGGTCGGGGAGGTGCTGGGCAGCCTACGGGGGCTGGGTGTGGGGGTGAGGTGGGGTGAGAGGGTGCCACACCCCCACCTGCTAACTCATGGCCTGACTCCTGCTCCTGCTCTCTCAGCCTCCATTTCCCCATCTGCCTTGGAGTATGGCAGAGAGTAAATGAGGTAATGGGGGGCATGCACCCAGCCAGACAGTTTGGGGTCTGGCAGGGAGCTCAGCCCCTGCCCCACCCCCTTTGCCAGGCTTCATGCTTCTGGGAGGGAGCCCGGAGAAAGGCCAGCTCCCTTCTTCAACTCATTCTTCTTGCTCGCCTCCCACGTCAGCTTGGGGGCCAGGTGACGCCCCCCTTCCTACCCCATACACACTCTGTGCTATAGGAGGTAGTTCTGGAATCATGGGTCCCCACTGTGGACGTCTTGGAAGCCACATTCACTCCCATTCAGCCATTCACAAGAGTCCCACAGCTCCTCCGACCCCCCAGAAGCCAGGACTGCCCCAGAGGAATCTTCCAGTTCTGCCTGCGAGTTCTGGAAAGTTCTCTGTGCTCAGCCTCGGTTATCCATTCCCTTCCATAAACAGGGACCGTGTGCCCCAATATCACCAACTGTTGTGAGGTTACATGCAGTAACGGGCAAGAAGGCACTTTGCACAATGTCAAGTATAAATTCTGTTTCTGTTTTATTACTTAAAAGAAAATCTGCAAGGTGGGGTAACAGCAGCAGCTCGTGTGTGCCGAGGGCTTGCTGTACGCCAGGCACGATAACACTTCTCCAACTTGTGAGATGAGAATGGCTTCATCCCCATCCTACAGATGAGGGCATTGAGCTTGGGGAAGTGAAGTCACTTTTCCGGAATGGGAATTCAGGTTCACATCTGCCTGACCTCAGGGGTCATGCCCAAGGAGCATCAGTCTGGGTCTCTCCAAAAATGAAAGAGTTGGGCCCGTGGCGGGCACAGGCTTCAAGACGCAGGGCAGACAAGCAGCAGCCCAGGGCCTGGACGATGCAGAGCTGCTCACCAGAGCACTGGCCTTGGGGCCCACGTTCCAGTCCTGTCTCCAAAGCCCCCAGCTGTGCAGCCTTGGCTGGCCTTTCCTTCCTCTGGGCCTGAGTTTCTTGATCTGTAAAGGTCAGGCCAGTGCCTCACCTGAGGTGCCCTGGCTCTTCAGGAACTGGTTGCAATTGTCCCGAGGCTGATGAAGAATGAGCAGGTGCCCCGATGGGAGATGGTGCCAGCAGCCAAGGCCCACAGCCAAGGATGTCCCCACCAGGACAGGCTGGTGAAGAAGATGGTAGGAACTGGTGACGCAGCTGACTCCAGCTACTGGAGCTTGGGGAGTTCACGACAGGCTCAAGAGAGGTAATGATGCAGGGCCTTCACCGACCTGCAGCCACAACCTGGACTCCAAGTTGCACGGGATCTCTTATCTTGGGGAAGGTTCAAGGGTCCAGAGAGCCTCTAGCCAGAGGCAGGTGATTCATATCATCCTCTCTGGGGCCACCACAGCATCACCTGATGGGTGCATCACCTGCCAGGGTGCTCACATCCTGCTAGGGATCCCAGATAGAGTGTGGACCCTCAAAGCAGAGCTCCCTCTGGGAATGGTTTCTCTGCCTTGCAGGGTCTGTAGAGGAGGCTGAAAGTGGGCCGGATCAAGGCCCAGGTAAGGCCTTGGCCCTGACCACAGCCTGTAGTGAATTCCAGCTATCTCAGACCCTCCATCTGCTCTCGGTTCCCTGGTTTCCTCGTTACTGGGACTCCGGATACCATTACACATCGCCTGTCCTCAACACGCGCCCTAGGACCCAAGCACCACCCCCACCTCCCACTAGCACTTCATTCAGTCAATCATTCATTCATTTATTCACACAACAAACATTTATTGAGTACCTATGGTGTGCCAGGCACTGTCCCAGATGTACCACAAGGAAGAAGACAGGCAAGATCTGTCAAAGTGCAGAGTTAGCAGAGACTCCGGAGCCAGGCTACCTGGCTTCAAATCCTGGTTATGCTGCTTTTCAGCTTTGTGACCATGAGCAAGTTACATGACCTCTCTGAGCCCCAATTACCTCGACTGTAAAACAGCGCTAAGATTAGTATCTCCCCATGGGGTTGGGGTGAGGCCTCAACGCCTTAACACAATGTTAGTAGAGTGCTTGGCACGTAGTAAGTGTGCCATGTGTTTGCAGTTATTAGCCTAGCAGGGGATGCAGAAAATGCAACAAACAAATAAAATAATTGCAGGTTATGGTTGGTGTTTTGAAGGAAATAAACAGCATGCTGTGGGGTAGTCAGGAAGACCTCTCTGTCGAGGTGACTTCTTAAGGGTGAAGTATAGAGGATGGAGGAAGCCGTCTCGACCAGACCAGGGAAAGTGCTTTCCAGGCAGAGGAACCAGCAAGTGAGAATCCCTGAGGCGGAAAATGGCTTGGCAGGTGTCAGGAACACCAGAAGGCCCGGAGGCGGGAGATCGGTGAGCGAGGAGGAGGACGGCAGGCCAGGCCAGCGAGGCCAGCAGGGCCTTGTGCACCACAGCACGGAGTTTGGCTTTTCTTCCAGAGCGCTGGGCACGTGTTTTTGTTTTTGTAAGCTGTGTTGCAGTGTATCAAACATGCAGAAATTACACAAATCATAAGTGTGCAATGCCACAAATTTTCACAAAGTGAACATACCCCGGGGAACCAGCACAGAGATCAAAACCCGAACATGAGTAGCCCCCCGAAGCCCCCAGAGGCCTCTTCCAGTCACCACCCCCACGGGAACCACCATCCCGACTGCTAACGGCAGAGAGTAGTTTCGCCTGTTTTTTGAACTTTCTATAAACGGAATCACACAGCCTGCGCTCTTTTCTGTCTGGCTGCTTTCCCTCAGCATTATAAGCAAAATCCATGCATCTTGTTGCAGGTGCTGGAAGTTTTGTTTCCTCTCTGCAGCTCTGTAGCTTTGGTACATGCGCTCTGGCTCTCATGTGCTCCGGCTCCTCCCGCCACTGAAGGGTCTCGAACATGAAATTGACAAGATCTCTTTCCAGCTCACTCCAGTTCCTGCATCTACTGGGGTTGACACCAGAACCAGGCTGGCCTCAGCTGCGCCTGTCTGCTGCTGCCAGAGCAGCCGTATCAGACAGCGCAAGTGGGCTGTCCAACTCACCACTCCCTCCCAAACCAGGAACCCTGTCCTTCCTCAGGCCCCGGTGTCCTCACCTGGAAAATGGGCTCAGTCCTACCAAAGCTGTAGTTGTGAAGATTAAGTTAAATGAGAAATGGCAGTGAAAGCCCTGGCCCTCCCCCGCCAAGGGGCGTAATTAATACCCTTTCTCCTTTCTCCTCCAGGTCCAGAAAATCAACGGGAAAACAAGGGCGCTCCCTGTGGATGGGAGTGAAACTGCAGCCCTCGCTCCCCAGGGTCCTGCTTTCTAGGTGAAGGAATCCAGTGGCCACAAGGCCAGTAAAGACCCAGCTCCTACTGAGAGGGCAGTGCCCACAGGTTGATCTCAGCCCCAAAAGCCCAGGGAGTAGATGATCCAGGAACCACTGCTGCCTTTGCACACTCGTTCCCCACCCCTCTTCCCAACCTCAATCCAGACCCTCCAGGAGACCTCCGCAGGTGCCCACTAAGCCTGCTCTCCTGGTTGCTGTGCCCACAGCACGTGGCACCATCCCCTACACACCCCAGCCCCTCCTAATGCCTGCGTGCCTCCCCGCCAGACTGCGCGGGCAGGGTGGGACCTTTAGCCCTGTTCCCGGAAGACGGAAGATCGCCCACACCTGGCACAGTGCCTCCCATCCAGCCAGGGGCGTCATAAATATCTCCCGAATGATTCATTCATTCTTTTGGGAGAGAAGGCGTGACCTCTAAGTGGTTAAGAATATTGGCTTCGAAGACACAGACTTGAGTTCAAGTCTTCTCTCTGACCTTTGGCTCTGTGACCTTGGGAAGCTCATTCACCTGTCTAAGCCTGTTTCCTCATTTAAAAAATGGAGTGACCACGACCCCATTAGGTCATTGTGAGGATTTAGTGAAGTGATGTTGGCCTACAGTACCAGCCCAGTCATGGTGGGAGGGGGTAATCATCCATTCAGAGAAGGGGAACCCTCCCCCTGCTCCGCCTGTTTTCTCAGCGGTTCCTTGAAGTGCGCAGTACCGGGCTCGTTTTACAGAAAAAGAAACTGAGGCCCAGAAAGGAAACAGAATAACCCGGGGTACGGCAGACTGGGGCTAGAACCCGGGCCTTCCGACTCTGCGTCCAGTGCTCTGCCTGCGTCTCGGAGCCTCTGGTGAGCACATCCCCACCCCACCCTCGTCCCCCGGCCTGGGAGTGAGGGGCTGGGGGCGCGGCCTCAGGGAGACCCCCGGACTCCAGGGCCCGCTTGGGGATCCTCGACTCAGACCACGGAAGCGCCGCGCGGCTCCCGGAGCGGAGAAAGCGCTCGGGGTTGTCACTTTAAATTAAAGAGGGAGCGGGCGGGCGAGCGCGAGGGAGCGCGCTGCGGGCTCCTGGGAGCGTGCCCGGACTGCGGCGCAGCTCCCGTCGGCCGCCCCGGCCCGGCCGAGACCCCGGCCCGCGCCGCGCTCCTCCGAGGCGGGCGCTGGGCGACACTGCAGCGGTGGCGCAGCCGGCGACCTCCGGGCTTGACGCCGGTGCGTGCGCGCTGCGGGAGGCCGGCCGGGAACCCGGAGCCGGGAGCCGGAGCCCAAGCCGGAGCCCGAGCGGGAGCGGCGGCCCCTCGGCGGAGCCGGGGTGAGTACGCACCTGGCCGCCCCCCGCACAGCGCCGGGATGGGCGTCCGGCGCGCGGACGCACGCAGTGCCCTCTCCCCGTGCCGCGGACCCCCGGGCTCCCCGCGCTCTGCGCGTCTGCACACCCGCGCGGAGCGCACACCCGCGCCGCGCTTGCACACGCACGCCCGGCACAGCGCACGCCGGGCGCCCTTCCCCGGCCCGGCCACTCCGCGCACTGCGCATCGCATCGCGTCCCGCACGCCCGCCCCGCGTGTGCACACACGCGGCTCACTCGGCCATTTACACACCTCCCCAGGCGAGTGTGCACGCCCCTCACGTTCACACTCAGCACCCTGACTATCCCAACTCCCCCTGCCCCGCCTCACACCCCCTCGCGGCTTCGGGGTCAGCCCCCTACACTCTGATCCTCATATACCCTGGGGGTTCCCACGGTAGGGGTGCTGGGTCTTCAGGAAATGCCCCGGTCCTGAGAGGCATGTCGCACCCCAGCTCCAGGAGGCTCTGCGATCCCGGGAGAAGATCCTCAGCCTCTGTCCGGCGTCACCGGCCTGGGTCGGGGGCTTTCCAGGGGCCCCTGGGAACCTTTGACGCGCTGCTTTTTGGGAGAGGAAGCTTGCCCCCTCGGGCTCTAGATTTGGGCTGAAGAGGGTCTGGGGCCGAATGTGAGCGCCTGGAGCCAGGCCTGTGGGTGGAGGAGCCCTGAGTCAGCCATCCTGGTGACCCCTCTTCTGGGGGCTGCAGAAGGACTGTGTGCCCCACTCCTCAGTCAGTGAGGCACCCCTACCCCAAAGTGCCTGGAAACCCTGCTCCCTGGAATGTCATCCCCTTCCGGAGCCAGGGGTTGACAGGTTTGGAGAGCAACAGCAGTGTGCTTCCTTCTAGAAATGGGGAAACTGAGGCTCAGAGCAGGCAGGAGAGCCACCTAAGTTAACCCTGCCAGTCTGGAGAAGGGTCACACGAGCGCCCAAGACCCCGCCTCCCCTCTCTGAACTCTGAAACCTTCCCCAAGCAGTTTGGGCCAGGGGGAGCTCCCAGCCTGGGGTTCACGTTTGGACTGAGCCTCTTGTCAGCTCTGGTGACATGGGCAAGTCATTGCCTGTACCTCAGTTTTCTTTCTAGTCCAATGGGCAGAGCAGCAGCCCCCTGAGAGGGCGGCAAGGAGAACTTGCTGAAATAACACAGCAAGTCCTTGGTACAGTGCCTGGAACACAGGTGCCCAATGAATGCCAGCCACCACCACCCCAGCCCATCTGTACTGTGGTTTCTGTGGGCTTGGGGGGGGGGATGGTAGCAGGATGTGGTTATCTCAGAAATGGGAGGAGCACTTGAAAAGGATTTCAAACCCAGAGAGCCCATAGAGGCCCGCACCCTGGGAGCTCGAGGGCTGCCCTGTACCCCCCCCACCCCCCCCATCCTTCCCATTACCTGCTGGCCTCAGCGTGAGGGCAGGGGGAGCCAGCACCTTGCCGGCCAGAGATGTGATGTGGGGACAGAGTGAGCAAGGAAATGGGGTCGGGGGGAGCAGAGACACGAGGCCTCTGTCCCCTACAAAATTTCTGGAAGGCCCTTTGTCTGACAAGCCCAGGAGGGGGCCTCGGCTGTGGTCGGATTCCAGTAAGGCCAGTGGCAGTTCATTCCACCCGCCTCCACTCCGAAACGCCTGGTCAGGAGGTGGCATGGCTGCCAAGAGCCCAGGCCCAGATCCATTGCACTTTGGCGCCAATCCCAGTGTGGCTGCTCATATGCTGAGTGACCCAGGGCCCCAGCTTCCCCATCTGGAAAGTGGGGATCCATTTGTCCATCCAATCATCAGCCCTAGATTGTGCGCCTGCTATGGGCCAGGCGCCGTTCTGAGCATTTAGCATATGTTGGGTCTCATTCTTACAGCAATGGGCGGGTATTACCAGGTAGGTATGATTGAGCCAGGATTGGAACCTAGAGCTGTTTGCAGTGAGCAAGCTCCGTGCAGTTTAGGGTTTGGCTGGGGAGGGGGACCAAGGAAGGGACGTGGATCGAGGAGCTCAGACGAGGGTTGGGGCAAGTCTGGCTCACCCCTGCTGTGACCCATTTCCTGTGTGTCAGAAGCTCGGGGAAGCTCTGGTCACAGGCCGTCCTGGCCTCAGATGTGCCTTGTCAGCATCCTGTTCCCAGCTGAAGCCGCAGCCCCTCTGCCTGGCAGACCTCCAGGCTGCCCGCAGGAGCCCGTGGTCGGTGAGGTAGAGCCGGGGTCTTGGGAATAGCGGGTAAAGGCATTAAGAAGGGCACTCGCTTTGCAGCCAGATCTGGCTCGGTCTCAGCTTTCTGCTTCCTGGTTGGGTGACCTTGGGCAAACCCACTGCCCTTCTCTGAGCCTCACTTTCCTCCTCTGTGAAGTGGGGCTAATTATAGGATGTGCCCCATAGGGAGTCTTGGGAGAGGTGATAGGGAAGCGATGCATGAAGTCCTTGGCACAGGGGCTGTGACTACTAATAGAAGAGGCACTGGACTGGGCAGCAGCCACGGCTAGCTGTGTGGCTTTGGGCAAGCCACTTAACTTTTCTGATCCCCCCTCAGCTCATCTGAAGGCCTGCTTACCAGGCTCATGAACAGAGATGCTTCCAGGGGCCAGCAGGTTCCGGAAGAGGTAGGGGGAGCGGTTCCAGGCCTGAAGAGCAAATGCCCCATGTGGAGGGGCAGAGCCTGCTCAGCTCCAGCTCTGGCTGTTAGAGGGGGTGGATAGGGAGGATATAGACCCACTGTCCCCAGAGCTTCTATCGTTTAAAGGGAAACTGGAAATCCATTGGGTTTTTTTTTAGAAATCCATTTTTAATGGGAAATTTTCCAATTTTTAAACGTTGGCAACTCACTGTAACACGCACAAAAAAGGTACAGGCTGGTAGTGCTGCCCACGTGATCCCACTGTTCAAACTAGGGCCTAGGGGGCCTTTTGGACCATTGCGAGGCCAATAACCACAGCAGCTAGTATTTGCCAGGCCGGCCACGCTTCTCCTTACACCCTGAAGGGCAGTTGTGAGCCCCAATTAACTGATGAGACAAGCGACGCTCAGAGCTAGGCAGGGGACAGATCCGGGATTCAGACAGAATCTGGGATTCTGGGGTCAGAAGCTGACCTCAAACCCTGTGCTCTGGCTGCCCCCGCCCCCCACCAGCCCCAAGCCTGTGCATCTCCCTTCCCAGTTCTCTCCTCCCTCCTGTCCCGCTTCTGCCCCTTCACAGGGGACCCCTGCAGGAGCTTCTGGCTGGGGGTGTACCTAGAGCCATTCACACCTTCACTGAAATCACAGCTCCCAGGCAAGGGTGTTGTGATGAGGAGAGGGGAAATGTGGGCAGTGTGGGAGTCTGGGGTCTGCGCTGGAACAGCCTTGGAGGGATGGGGGCCCTTGGACGGCCAGAGGTCTGATAGAGCAGATCTGGGCTCTGTCTTGTACCATGTGTACTTACTGCAGGGGTGTCCCCAGCGCCTGCTAGCATGCTGTAAGGCACAGGGGATAGGAACGTGGAGCCAGATGGCCTGGGTTGAACAGTTTCTTAGCTGTGTGGCCTGGGGCAATGGCTTTACCTAAATGACTTTACCTTCATGCCTCAGGACTCTCCTCTGCAAATCAGAGATAATAATAGTATCTACCTCAGGGGCTGTTAGAGGATTAAATGAGGTCATATATATGCAAAGGCTTAGAGCCTGCTTGGGTGTGAGGAGTGCAGCAAGGCTAGCTATCATTATCCTGATTCCAGCCCAGGGCCCAGGAAGGAGCCTCCACTCAAGTCAGCATGGGTAGAGCCCTTCCTGGGTAGCGCCTACCTACCATCACCATGACAACCCGCATCTCACCATGGAGTGGGGCATCATCACGGGAGCTGGGAGCAAGGAGCTGTCTGGGCCCCTGGCAGAGGTTCGCCCCAGAGCCCTGGTCTGCCCTGCTCCTCGAGGCCTCCGGCCCTGGGACTTATGGCACTCCCAAATGTGCTGGCTAACACTGTCTGGATCAAGGCATCCCAACTTGGCTCCAAGGCCGCACACTGGGGAGAACCTTAGGATTCCTGAACATGCTCACCGCCTGATTTGACCCCAGTCCCAAAGGGAGTCGATAGAACGCTTCGAGGGGTTGCAGACAGGCTAGCCACAGCCCAGGGTCTTTTTATGTTGCGCCTAAACGGCGTTTACATTTTTTGTGAATTGCTTGCAACATTTAGAAACCAAGAACCTGCACATAAAAAATCCAGGTATCTAGCTTTTCTTTCAAGAGCCAGCTGTGCTGGGCTGGCATTCCCACGGGAACAGAAAAGCAGCTGCCCTTGGGTAGGCAAGCACCCTGCGGTTCTTACGCCCCGTGGGCCGCCCCCGTATCGCTCACCTTGTCGGTTCTTAGGCACCTCTCTGCACTACGAGGGATCGTGGAGGCTGGGCTGGAAGGTCTCCTGTCCTTGCTTGTCCCTTGAACTGAGACCAATACAGCTCATTCCAGCCTTCCTTTTTCAACACCCGCCCCCCTACATTTTGAACATCTCTGTGAGCCAGATTTACCTCTTAGCAACAACAATAATAAACCTACGCGTAGTCACCGGGATTCGGGTAATGGCTTGTATGAGCCCCCGGACCTTTCTAGAACAACCTAGACCTTTAGTGGTTCATAAAACTTGGGAGTGGAGAATGAAGTCGGGAGGAAACCATCCCAAGCAGTGAAAGGACTGATAATAAAATTTGCAGAAAGGCAGGCTGTCCTTTCCAATTTAGATGAAAGCGTTTGACGTCAGGCTCGGTGAGCATCCTGAGGGGCTACTCCACTGAGTACCAGAGTCGCTGCTGGTCAGCCTGTTGTTCCTAGGATGGAAATGAGGTGGGGGTGCCAGATTTAGCAAATACAAATACAGGAAGTCCAGAAACTTTTGAGTTACAGAGAAACAACACGTCATTTTTTTGGTGTAAGTATGTCCCTCGCAGTATTTGGACATACTAAAAACGAGTCTGAAATTCGCATGTCACTGGCAAGGCCTTAGCCAGACAGACAGGGAAGTTCTCAAGGCAAATTCAAATGTCACTTGTGTTTTAGCAACCCTGAAATGCAGTCTGGAGGGCTCAAAATGAGCTTTAAACACCATTTTTTAAAATGCTACTTTAAAAAACCACCTACTTTTGCCCAGGGCCCCCCTCACGGCTGAGTGTGCACTCCAGATGATGGGTACACAGGCACCAGGGAGGCCAGGGCCCAGGGTCGGGCTTGGTGACCCTCTGAAGCCCCCTCCACTGACTCTCCTCTCCTTTCCAGTCTCAGCCACTGCAGCAGGCGTCATGGCCGTGGACGTGGCAGAATACCACCTGAGCGGTGAGTCTCAGCGGCCAGCATGTCATCTCACAGGACCCGCCCACCAGGCCTGGGGTGGGGGGGTGTCCCCAGGACACTAATAACGGCCCCGTTTTACTGGTAAGGACACTCAATGACTTGCCCAAGGCCACACAGCCTTGGGGACACCAGGCTGGGACCAGTCTGAGGTCTCTTCCTCTTTCTGCATCAGTGGCTCCTTCCCCTCTGTTTGACTTGAGGGGATCCCCCAGGAGAGCCCGTGTCCCGCTGCTTCCTCACGGTGAGCCTGTGACGTGGAATCTGCCCACCCGGGGCCGTTCCTGGATGCTGTCAAGTGGCCAAGTGAGAGGAAACCCAGGAAGGTTGACATTAGATCCATGGGCCGTTGAACTCAGAGATGGCCCAGTCCAGGGATGGCAAATACCTGGGACGCAGCTCCCGCCTTCCCGTGTGTGCCCCAGCAGGCACTGAACTTGGCAATGGCCTCAAGACACCAGACACACTCCAAGTGATGGTGGATGATGTCAGAGCTGAAACAGACTCCCATCTTTTCTCCTTATGTTCCCCTCCCCGTTTACAGATGGGAGAAAGGAGGCTCAGCAAGGGAAAGGGACCGTGAGTAAGTAACAGGGTCAGGACATGAACCCAGCTCTGCTGACTACCTGGCCAGTGCTCCCATCGCTCCAGCTCCTCCCCTGGCACAGCCCCCCACCAGCCCCGGGCGGAGCTGAAGGGAGCATCAGGGACCACCTTTCCCAACCCCCAGCCAGGGTTTCTCACTTTTCACCCACAGGTCTTGGCCCAGGCCCTGGCATGGCCTTGGGCAGGTGAGGAAACCTCTCTGAGCCTCCACTGACTCATCTGTAAAATGGGGGCAACCAGGCCCGGCCTCAAGGATGCTGGGAAGGTTCAGAGAGCACCCCACACTGTGCGAACACCGCTGTCTCCCAACTCCAGGCCTTTGCCTGGAGCGGTTCCCTGCGTCGGCCTGGCTAAGTCCCCACGACCCAGCTGGAGGTTGCAGGTGCAGATCCCGAGCCAGATTTTCCAGCAGCGAGTATCTCCTCTCTCCCTCAGCTTCCTCCCCTGTAAGATGGGGATAGTAACAGAGCCTTCCTCCCAGGGTTGTCCTGAGGACTCAGGGGTTAATGTACAAGGAGTGCTTGGAACAGGGCCTGGCGCATAGTAAATAGTAAGAGAAGCTATTATCACTAGATTCCTCCACCTCCTCCTCATTTCTAGTCTCGGCTTAGACCTCACTTCCCTGGGGATTCTTCCCATACCGTCCCAAGGCTGGTATTCAATAAAATGAATAAATAAATGAGCATTAATTGTCGTCATTTCCTATCACCTTCCTGAGGCTTTTCCTTTTGCCTGCCCGGCCCTGCGCCCCTTTTCTGCCAACCAGGGTGCCGGCTTCAGTCCCTCAGCCCCCTGGGATCCTCATTCTCTGGGGAGCCCTGCTCTGCCTTGTCACCTTGCCGTGCCCGTGGTCTGGAACCTCAGGCCTCTGTGCCCGCCCCCTGCTAGGACCCGGGCCCTGCTGTGAGCCAGCTGGGGCAGCGTGCACGTCTCAGCAGGAGCCGCTCGCGTGTGCACCTCACTCTGCACTTTACCAGATCCCCTGGTATCCCAGCCCCTCCCCTCTTCAGCAGACTCCCAGGACCTCCCGAGCCTCATCAGGTCTGGCCCTGGGGCCTCTGTTGATCTTCACTGTGGTCTTATTTAGCCCACAAATTACCTTCTAGCAACAGGAGTCAGGAGTAAATAGGGTCTGCTCACGGACCCCCATCCCTACTTTCTGCTCTTCTCACGTCTCCCTGGGCCACCCAGCCCTTGTGCACACACTGTATGACTTTTACATCAAAATCATGTGTTTCTACCATCTTGAGGATTGACTTTTTTTTTCTCTTAACAATGCCCAGAACATTTCCGTGCATCCCCACAGTGACATGCTAATGACCTCAATTGTCATTCTTTAAGGCCAGTGACATTCCCTCCCAAGACAGCACCACCGGCCCCCTCGGTCGGACCCTCAGGCTGTTTCCAGATTTCTGCTGTTATAAATACAGCCCCGATGACTCACCAGACATAAAACTTGTCAGGATTTTTCCCTTAGAGTAAATTCCCCCCGTGGAACCACTGGATACGGGATGTTGTTGTCGTCACCTCCTTTTTCTGGGCGAGGAGACTGAAGCCCAGAGACGTTAGCTGGCTTGCCGAGAGCCGAGGAACTGGCACCCAGACTCTGTGTGTCTCCCCACTGTGGCCTTGAGCCGATAAATCGCTGTGTCCTTTAGCCTCTCAGCTCAGTTCTCCTCAAGAAAGTGGAGGTGGGCACCTCGCGGGTGCTGAGTGCTGGATGAAGGCCAGGGCAAGCGTCGTGGATTCTGGCTGGAGTTTGCCAGGCTCAGGAGAACAGGGCAGGGGGAGGCCTCCCACTGTCAGGGGGCCACCACTGCTGCGTGAGCCCTCCCTATGCGGCTGGGCTTCAGGAGCAGCGGTGAGGACCCCCTCCAGCCCCAAATGCCCCACCCCCTCCCTCCCCAGGGGCCCTCTGAGACCTCTGGGCTTTGTACACCTGTTCTTTTTCCTACCCTGAACTCCCAGTCCCTGGTACCTTGCACACTTCTTGCTCCTGCTTCATATTTCAGGTTAGATGTCCCTCCTCCAGGAAGCCCTCTTGGGCTTTTCCCATCATGATGCCCATCACTCTGTTTTGTCTATTTATTTGCCCGGCAGTGGTTACGCTGCTTGTTCTGGAGTCTGGCTGCCAGAGTTGGAATCCCAGCACCACCCCTTTCTGGCTCTGTGACCTTGGGCAAGGTCTTTGTGTGCCTCAGTTTCCCCATTTGAATTGAGTATAAAGGCAACACAGAGAATGGTTTAGAGAATTGTATATGCTACCAGTGTGACCTCCTGCAAAATGAATCCCACTGTCTCACGGGCTTCTTTTGGGAATCAGAGCCATGTCTTCTGGTAGGAGGATGACCTCCCCACATGTCTGGTCCTGCCATGTGCCAAGCACCATGCTGGGTGAGGACGCTCCCACAGTGCAACCATCAGTACGTTCCATTTTTAGAATCTATTCATCACCCCAAAAGAAACCCCATACTCCACATTTCCCCCTACTCTCGCAGCCCCTGACAATAACTCATCTGCTTTCTCTCTGTATAGATTCACCTATCTTGGACTTTTCATATAAGTAGAATCATACAACATGTGGTCTTTTGTGACTGACTTCTTTCACTTAGCATGATGCTTTCAAGGTTCATTTATGCTGTAACCTGTATCAGGATTTCCTTCCTGTTTATTGCTGACTAATATTCCATTGTATGGATAGACCACATTTTATTTATCTATTCATCAGCTGGTCGACATTGGGTTGTTCTAGAGGAGGTTAGAGGCAAAAATGAGGTCGTTTCTTTTTCTCCCCCAAATCCCCTTCCTCTTCCCCCAGACCCCAAAAAGCTGCTTTGATGGTCTGCAAGCAAGAGATCTTCTGAAGGCTATGAGGTCAGAGAACTCAAGGAGGCAAGAACAACCCTATTTACCTAAAGCCTAATGAATGTTTAGCCATTGTTCACAGCTCTTCATCTCCTCTAGCCACATATCGCTTCTGATAGAAACGTATGCTTTTGTGGAAAAGGGGATAGAAGCAGAAGTCATAGAGAGTGTATGTCTTGTTCAACACTGGATCCCCAGGACCTAGCACTGAGCCTGGCACACAGTAGGCACTTAATAAATATTTGTTCAATGAATAAGTAAGTCAGTGCTGAATTACCCCCTCCCTGGGTGGGGATCTGTCACCACTGAGAGGCCCCATGGTCCACTAATGAGAGGCTGCTCTTGCCTTACAGTCATCAAGAGCCCCCCTGACTGGGAGGTTGGTGTCTACGCTGCGGGGGCCCTGGCGCTGCTGGGAATCGCAGCTGTGAGCCTGTGGAAGCTCTGGACGTCGGGGAGCTTCCCCAGCCCCTCCCCATTCCCAAACTACGACTACCGGTACCTTCAGCAGAAGTATGGCGAGACCTACGCAGAGGCCAGGCAGAAGGTGAGCCTTCGCTCCTGCTCTCATAGGGCGCACCCCGAGCTGTGTGCCCCGTGCCCCACTGTCCACTCTTGGGATCAGCCTCCACTCCCTCCCCACCTCGCTCCCTCCTGGGTAATTTCCTCCTGTGAACGGGGACCCTCGTCCTCCTCCGTGTCGCCCACGTAGCCCCATGCTCGGTAATCAGTGAATACTTGTTGAATGAATGAATGCTTTCAATTTTCACAAAACTGTCCTGTGAAAAGTACAGGAAAATATAAATAAGGAGAAAAACCTCTCCCAAAATGCAACGGCTGTTAACTGTTTTTCAACTATGGACATTTTGATTGATTTCTTTCTAATATTTTTAATCTACCCCCTGCGTCTTCTTTCCATGCATAGTCTTTACACAATGGGTGTCATTTCTGCATAGAATGTTGTACTCTGCTCTTTTCATCTCACTTATAGCTGAAGCGTTTTCCCGTATTGTTGAACACTATCATAAAACATCATTTTAATGGCTGGGTAAGGTTCCTTTTTATGTGTGCCATGATTTACTAAATGCCATTATAAATATGCAGTGAATGTTTGATATGTAAAACTTTGTCTTCATTTGTGATTATGTGCTTTGAGTGGATGCCCAGATGTGGAGTTACTGTATCGGGGAGTACAAACGTTTTTAGGGCTCTCAGTATACATTGCTGGGTGTTTGGTCGTTTGATACTTGGCAGAGACTTTTTCTAACATCATGTAGAGTTCCAGAGAGCACAGCCAGAATGTGTTACCACATAAGGGTCCCACATGCTCACTCCCTGGGGGTTTCAGAGGGGACTATCTCTCATTCTCTTGGGGGGGACTATAAATTGGCAACATGTGTCAAAAGCTTTCAAAAGGACTGTGTCCTCTAAGCCAGGATTTTAAGAAAGCTATTTGATGCTCCGATATTTATATTTGGGAAAAACTAGAAACGACATAAATGTCTGACAGCAGGGGATGGTAAAATAAATGATGGCTACCTGCCCAATGGCAAATTGGGGGGAGGTGTTAAAAATTATGGTAATAAAGACTATGCAGGAACATGAGAGATGCTTAGGGGACAAAGGCTTTTGTTTTCTCACATGCCAAGGTCAATTTGGAGAAAAGGAAAATTTTAATAATAGGGTGAGTGTTACCCAACATGAAAGCTTTCTTGTGTTGTAGACATTTTTGTAAACTTCCTTTGAGGCCGCTTGATCATCTGTTGAGTAGCTATATTCTAGTATTCTTACCTGTTCCCCTTCTGCTGGACACTTAGGTTACTAACTGTTTTGTTTTGTTTTTTTATAAACATCACTGCAATGAACATCTTTACGTATGGAACTCAGTCCATATAAATAAACAGTTTTGTGAAAAAGCTCTCTTCCATCCTGGTTAGAGAGAAAACTGAGTGAAGTGAAATAACATTAAACAAGGACCTTCCTACCCAAGGCATGACCTGTTTTGGCAGAAGGGGGAACTTGGAGGTGCCTTGAACGCACAGGGTTTAGCGCATTTCTTTGCCGTGTTCCCAAGACCATGTGTATGCCCTTACGAGGCTCCATGTCCCTTTTTCTCACCCTCAGAGAGTGCCTGCCTGGAATGCCCAGCGGGCCACCACTCGAGGACCACCCAGTCGCAAAGGCAGCCTCAGCATCGAAGACACCTTTGAGAGCATCAGCGAGCTGGGGCCCCTGGAGCTGATGGGCCGTGAGCTGGACCTGGCCCCCTACGGGCCCCTCCGGAAGTCCCAGTCGGCTGACTCCCTGAACTCCATCTCCTCCGTGAGCAACACCTTTGGGCAGGACTTCACGCTGGGCCAGGTGGAGGTGAGCATGGACTACGATGCCGCCTCCCACACTCTCCACGTGGCCGTGCTGCAGGGCAAGGACCTCTTGGAGCGGGAGGAAGGCAGCTTCGAGTCCTGCTTCATGCGTGTCAGCCTGCTGCCCGACGAGCAGATCGTGGGCATTTCCCGGGTAAGTGGGGGCTGGGGGGCCACACGAAACCAGTGTGTGGTAATTGTCCATTTGCACACCTGTCCCCTGAGTGAGCTTAGGGTCCTGGCAGGGAAGGGATGACATACTCAAGTTGGCTAATTTGGGGAGAGCTTAATAAGGACTGTTAACAATGGTGTGGGTGGGGTGTGGGGCCACCTCAGGGATGGCGTGTTCACCTGGTCTGAAGGGATGCGGGGAAGGGGAGGTTACTGGACTGAAAAGGAGACAGGTGTGTGGAGAAGGCCACCTTGATAGGCACTGTGCCCTTTGGTCAAGGGACACAGTCAGACTGTAGCAATACGACGGAGAAGGACCTGGGGGAATAAGCCCCCCAACCTCCAGTTTCCCTCCAGTGACCCCACTGGCTGACCCCACCAGAAGCCAGAGGCCAAGGGAGCCTGTTGATGCAGCCCGTGGAGGTCCACTCCTCGGCAGGAAAGCAGGGTGGGGAAGGGTGGAGAGAAAACAGGGAGGGCCAAGGAGAGGCCCCGGCACACCCCCGCCAGGCCACCCTCCACGTTCGCTCCGCAAGGGAGCAAAGCCTGCAGGAAGCACCCCTCGCTGCCCAGCACCGGCGGCTAGTAGCTCCAGGCTGGATGGGGGTCCAGACGCGGCTGCCGGGAGTCCTCGAGGTGGGCGAGGTCAACGTACCATGACCTCTGACCAGTTCAGGAGGAGCCTGGGGACCTGCAGGACCAAGTGCCCCTGACTCATTGGAGAGCCACCTGTGCCCCATCACTTTTATGATGCTGAGAACTGGCTGTTCCTCAGTGGTGGACACTGTCATCCCTCCCCCACCCCATCCTGCCCCCCGCACTTTAGGAGGATCTAGAACTGACCATTAGCCAAGTGCATGTGGGCCCCAAGAGGGGGCGGCCCAGCTTCCGAGAGGCAGTCCAGTGGGTGGTTAGGAGCAGGACCCTGGAGCCTGACTGCCTGGGTTCAAATCCCGGTGCCCTACTTCCTAGCAGAGTGACCTTGGGTAAGTCACCTAAGCTCTCTGTGACTCAGTTTCTCTGTGTGTCAAATGGGCGTCATAATTCTTGAGGAGCGGATGCATTAATATATGCAAAGCCCTTAGCCCAGTCCTTGGTAAACACTCAATAGATTCTCTCTCAGGACCGTCAAGGGTTCCTGTTGAACCTGGATCCACGCTGCCTATGGGCTGGGCTGCCTGGAGGGCCTTGGGTGCTTTTGGACATGTCCCTTGAGGGGGGACGTTGACAGATGGCAGCCACCACAGCCTGCTGTGTGCTGAGAACCTGGTTCACAGAGCCCAACACATCTGTGATTCTCTCGTTAGCACCAACGAGACAGAGTAAGGGCATCTTGCAGATGGGGAAACTGAGGCTCAGGAAAGTGTTTTGCCCAAGACAACCCAGGCACGTGAGCAGGAGATCGAGGACCCACCCCTGGGGTTCCCATTTTCCTCCACCCGTGTGCTCAGAGAACAGATGGTCAGGGAGCCTGAGCTCCTGTGGGCAGGGGCCAGCAGAGAGGCTAGTTTGGCCAGAGGAAGGAGCGTCTGGCCGAGGATGATGAAGGGCCTGAATGCCGAGGTCAGGATCAGGAGGTGGGCTTTATGCCATGGGGGAGGAGCCCTTGATTCTCAAGCAGGCAACTGGGTAGGGAGCGTAGTTCCGGGGGAGCAGCATGAGAGGAGCCCTCCGGCAGCCCGGGCAGCCACCAAAGAGTGTGTTTCAGGGCTCCTGGAGGGGCCGGCGGATTTCTTCCCAACAAGGCAGGCTTCTTAGCACCACAGCCCAGCCAATCCCAGCAAGTGCGTGGCTGCCTCTGGGCTGGGCAACCCCCCAGCTTCAGGCGAGGTGCCAGGAATGAGAGCTCCTCTCTTTAAATATCGCCAGGCAGTGACTAAGGCAGCCCCCCACGGAAGGGGGAGCAGCGCCCTCAAGAGCCCCTTCTCAGGGGCCTGCCCACGGCTTCCTGGGAGGAGGCCAGTGGCGCCCAACAGGCAGGACCGGGCTTGGAAACTGAGTCTGGCCAGCCTCCCATAGTCACTCCACCCACTCCTCCATCCCACAGCATTCAGGCAGTCCTGGCCGGGCTCTGCGGGGGCTGGACGTCCATGGTCTTGACTCCACAGACAGTTATCCACAGCACTGCCCGCCTGGCCCAGGGCTGGACTTGAATGCACACAAGAAAGATGGAGACCAGCTCAGCAAGCGCTTTGCTGTGGGGCTGTGGGTACTGAGGATGGGAACTAGTTGGAGTCTGACTGTGGAAGCTTTGAATGCCAGGCCACTAGTTTGGCCACCATTGAGAGGAAGACAGGGGAGCTTTTAAATCACCAAGGCTGAGCCACCGAAGGAAGCATTGACATTTAGGTTGCGGGGGCAACAGAGTCAGGACTCCAGCCTAGGTCTCCAGACTCCCCATCCAGTGCTCTCTCTCTACCATGGCCTCACAGGCCCCTGGCTGCCTCCTGCCCCCCAGCTTCGGAGCTCCTTCCAAGGCCCTTTCTCTCTGCAGATCCAGAGGAACGCCTACTCCATCTTCTTCGACGAGAAATTCTCCCTCCCCCTGGACCCTGCAGCCCTGGAGGAGAAAAGCCTGAGGTTTTCCGTGTTTGGTATCGATGAGGACGAGCGGAATGTCAGCACGGGGCTGGTGGAGCTGAAGCTCTCTGTACTTGACCTCCCACTGCAGCCCTTCAGTGGCTGGCTTTGCTTACAGGACCAGAACAAGGTGAGTTTACCCACTTGTCCACCCATGAAGACAGTGTCACACGCATACACTCAGAGGAGGGACGCCACAGCAGCAGTCCGAACACCAACAACTTTAGGAAATTAGAGAAAGAGACCTGAGCCACATTCAAGGAAACTCAGTTTACTGCATGCCAATGAAAAACACTCTGACCACTGTTTACAGCTCTTCTACTGCTCTTACCACCAAACCTTGGGAAGCTCTGCTCCTCTAGTACAGTAGTACTCCTCTGGCCATAAACTGAGTTATTTCAGACAGAGGCCAAGCTGAAGTTTACCTTTATAGGTGTAGAGATGCTGGGGGAGCATAATTGTTATTTTAGCAAATGATCTAGTAATTCTAGTCTACTTGGGCCTCTATATGCTATGGCCACAGAATGTTTTCCTTGGTCTGGAATGAGGAAAAATAACTGCATTTGATTGCTACATTTGACAGGCAACCTCTGGCGCTCCTTCCAAGGCAGGACCCATACCCCATGGGAGTAGGGGATAGTGCATGCTTCATGGAGTGGGGGAGGGGGTCCCTTTCTCAGTCCTACCAGCCTGGTGCCCTGCTGTAAGGGACCCCGAGAACAGCAACTTCTCAATGGAGAAGGAAGCTTCTGCCTTTCCCTGGACCCCTCAAGTTCAGGGGGCAGGAGCCCTCTGAGCCAGCCACCTGTTCCCCAGGCAGCTGACGCTGTGGGCGAGATCCTGCTCTCCCTTAGCTACCTCCCTACGGCCGAGCGCCTCACCGTGGTCGTGGTGAAAGCCAAGAATCTCATCTGGACCAACGAGAAGACCACAGCGGGTAAGGCCCTGCTGGCTGCCTGGCTCCTCCATGTGGCTGCTGGGAGCTGTGGCCCAGCTGCTAAGCCCTGGGCACCTGGAGGCACCAGCAGGTGTGGGGCACGCTGCCAGGCCTCCCCACCCCCGGCTTTGGCTGAGCTCAGGAGCTGCACACGGTGGGTGGATTAATCTGGCTGGGGAAACATGGGAACCGCAGAGGGTAGCAGGGAGCCCCTGGTGGGGACAGACGGGAGCCTGAGACCAGGAGGCAGCGCTCGAGGTGGGGGCACTGGGAAGAAACCAAGGTGGGCACCTGCTTCCCAGAACTGGAATTCATGGTGGAGGCTCCATTCCCAGAGGTCGAAGTGCATCCCAGATCCCAAATAGGGACCAGGGCCACCGGGATGGTGTGGGTGCCATGCAGGACCTGACGCCCTAGGCCTGCAGGAGCCTCAGCCCTGGGTAACTGAAGACAGAGGGCTGAGGGAGCCCGACTTCCTGGGAGCCTGAGGGGACTCGGGGTCCAGGCAGGCGCAGAAGGATACCAGTGGGCGGTAGGTGACGAGCAGCGACTTGTTATTTCAGGTCTGCACATCACTGAGTCAGGCTCCGCTGAGCGGGCGCCCAGTGACTCAGGGCTGACGTCTGCACTCAGGCCATTTATAGAATGAAAAGCGGTGGGTCTGCCGAGCTCCCCAGAGCGTCATGTGAGGGGAGCACATGCGTGGGCTGGGACGAGGGCTGCCACAGCCCAGCTCCTCTCCTGACTCCAGTGTGAGCCTCAGCTTGCTCATCTGTAAAATCGGAAAGAAATAAAGGACCAATGGCAGACTGCAGGAGATAATGGCGATAGGGAAGCTTTGGGGAGTTGGAGCCAGCGGGCCGCTGGGACCGGGCAGGGCTGTGCCAAGTGAGTGTGGCGCTGGCCTTCACCCCACCCCCCCGGCCCTCCCACAGACCCCTTCGTCAAGGTGTACCTGCTGCAGGATGGGAGGAAGATGAGCAAAAAGAAGACAGCTGTGAAGAGGGATGACCCCAACCCAGTGTTCAACGAAGCCATGATCTTCTCGGTGCCAGCCATTGTGCTCCAGGTGAGGGGGAATGGCGCAGGGGTCGGGGCCAGGCCGGGTCACCCCCAGGGCTCTGGGCCACTCTATCCCCTCCGGCCTAGCTTCTCAGGGCTCCTGCGGGTGCTGATGGTTTGTTTCAAGCTGTCACCTTTCTAGTCCAGAAGCATTTACTGAGCACCCTCTAGGTACCTGCCCTATGTGGGTGCTGAGAACACAGGCACTGCTTCCTTGGTGCCCACGAGGGACAGGCAGGAATGTCCCCAGATGGTCCTAACCCACTAAGAGCATGCCAGACTTTGGCAGTCGGAAGGGGCTTCTGCAGGGAGCGTTAGCTAAGCTGAGATCTGGGGGAAGTCAGTTCCCGGGGGAGGGAAATGCAGAGACCTAGAGATGAGCCAGGGCTCACTCAAGGGCCCTAAATCTCCCGAAGTTCTACCTGCAGAAGCCCTGCTAAGGTCCCCATACCCCCATGGCCTTTGGAAGGTGATGTGTCCCAGGGAGACCCACTCCCAGCACGGATATCACAGACCAAGGGTGAGGGAACTGCAGAGGATAGGGCCTGGGCCACAGCAGTGCCCTGCTTGCATGCCTCAGAGGATGGGGAGCTCACCACCTCCACTCACTAGCTCCTTCCATCCTTGGGCATTCCTGACAGTGAGAAAGTCCTTTTGTGCCTTGAGCCAAAAGCTGCCCCTTGGCCCTGGGGCTGGACAGAGCCCACCTCCTCTCCCTTCCCGGGACAGCCTGTCTGAGTTTGAAAGCCCAGAACTCTGCCTCTGTCAGGATGTTCCTAATCCAGGCGGACATACCAGCATCTCTGGTTGGTCCTGAGGGTCATTGCCTTGTCCTGCCGCCCTCATAGTGCCACTATTCCACTGCCTCCTGACGTCTTGGGACCAGGGAAGGAGGGAGAGGAGAGAGGTCAGGCTGGGTTCCCACTTTGATCTCAAGCAAGTTCTTTCCCTTCTGCAGTAATGAACCCAGCCTATAGGAAGATAGTAGAGGAGCGTATTTTAGGAATAACAGGAGACGCTCTGACTATGTGCAGGCACCATTCTCAGTGCTTTATGCATTTTAACTTATTTTGTTCCCAGAACAGCTAGGAACTATTATTATCACCATTTTACACATGGGGAAACTGAGGTAGGAAGAGCCCAAGTCACTGGCCAAGGTCACACAGCAAGGAAGTGGGGAGGCTGACGCTTGAACCTGGGCAACCTACTGCTGCCAGGGTGTAGGGAGAAGCAACAGAGGGCTGGGGGTGAGCCAATCAGAGGTGAGGATTCAGTGAGCTGCAGGGGCCTGGCATTTGTAGACCAATGCCTGGGAGCCATGGAAGACCTCTGGCACTGCCCTTGGTCCCCAGCCCCCATGTCACTTCCTCCCCAGGACCTGTCTCTCCGTGTGACAGTGGCTGAGAGCAGCAGCGATGGCCGTGGGGACAACGTTGGCCATGTCATCATCGGGCCGTCAGCCAGCGGCATGGGTACTACGCATTGGAACCAGATGTTGGCCACGCTGCGCAGGCCCGTGTCTATGTGGCACCCCGTCCGGCGAAACTAGCAGCCGGGACAGGGCCAGGGCGGGCACTGGTGCCGCCTGGAGCCTGGTGCAAGCTCAGCTCTGATGCTCTTCTCCATAGTCCAGCTGGAGCCATGAACGCTGGGGTCCCCCAGTGGAGTCCCCATGAGCCATCTTGGTCCCTCTGTCCAGACTGCAGTGGAGGAGTAGGCCTGGCTAGATGTCCAGGGAGCCAGGGTTTTCTCTCACTGAGGACCAGCTGTGGCTGGGCCGGGACCTGGGGAAGGCAGCTGGGTCCTGGCCCCTTGTGCTCCCATCTCGAGATCCCCAACAGGTGTGTCCCTTGGCCTGGGAGGGGGCCTTGGCCTCTCCGCATACCCCACCCTTGCTGGGAGGCCAGCACCAGGCTGGGCCACATATAGGAACCGTGCAAGTCTTGGGGGCCAGGTGCTGTGCTAGGCACTGGCAGGGGTGACACGAATAAGACTCAGCCCCTTGGATGTCAGGAAGACAAGATCTGCCTGCCCTGGTGATCTGCTCAGGGCAGCCCAGCCGTGTGGACTCGGGGAGGGCTCTGGGGGCTGGGAGGACGAGATGGGAGCTGTGCTTTGAGGGGCAGGGAAAGAACTGAGGGTGTCCCGGGCAGCAGCCACCTGAGATGGCAGGGACGTGAATTCCCTGTCACAAACACAGTCCCCAGCCCACCACAGTGGACATAAGGGCCTCTCTCTGGGCGGGAGAAGAAACCAAGAGACCAGGCCAAGCAGAGGCCCGCAGGCCCCCTGGGACCCTGGCTCCAGAGTCATTCTCTATGAAACCTACTCCCTTGAACCAAAACCCTTACAAGGCCCAGAGGTCCGAAGAGGCCCAGACCCGGGTCCTTGTGTTCAGTCCCGCACACATCAGGCATTGGCTCCACAGGTGTTTGTTGAGTCCCTCCAGGCTAGGCCCTGCTGGGAAGAGAGATGCCTCAGCCTGTGGGGCTGGTGGGCAGTGGGGCGGCCGGAATACAGACTGCAGGGGACCAGCGGTGGGAGAGGACTTCGTGGGCGGCACTGAGGACGTGGTGAGCAGGCGGGCCGGGCCTTGGAGGAAGGGGCAGCCGAAGCAGTGGCAGTGAGGGGAAGGCGAGGGGGGCCAGAATGGAAGTGGATAGGCAAGTGAATGCCAGACTGGGAAGCAGGCGGCTCTGGAGCACGGTTTGAGCCCCCAGGACACCGGGTGTCCTAGGTCGAGTTCCAGAAGCAGACCTGAGATTCTCAGGCAAGGGGGTTATTGAGGGAGAACCTGCGGGAACAACCTGTAAGGGAGAGGGAGGCCCTGGACGGTGCAGCCGAGCAAGCGGTGGCTTCCAGAGAGTGGAGCTTCAGCCTGGTGGCGGACGGGAGCTCTGATGTGTGAATGGCACCCCAGAGGGGTCCTGCCCAGACACCTTCCAGGTGTCACTGGCTGAGGCAGTTCCCATCCACCAAAGGCAGCCCCAGAGAAGCAGCCAGCTGTGTGCCCTTTGCAGCTGAGGGGTGGGTGCCCCTGCCGGGTCAAAGGGAAGGGGCTGGGGGATGTGTGGCAGCAGCATCTGCTGTACGGGGCCACCCACAGGGTACAGAATGGGCTCTCAGGCTGGCTGCCTCTGATCCTCCACCCTGGTGAGCTCTGGAGATGCAGGCCCAACCAGTTATCCCCAGTGACGTTGGGGGGCCTGCAGTGGTCATGGGACTGGAGCCATCTGACACAGCGGTGGCCCAGCCCCGAGGTCTGCATGGGCCAGGCCAGCACAAGGCCCGGGGACACACAGCTGGTGCGCCTCCTCAGCCTGGGAGACCCCGACTCTTGCTACCCCAGCGGCCACGTGGGGCAGGCCGTCGACCCTCACCTTGTCTTCCCCTTGCTCCTCCCTCTAAATGCATGAAATGTTGACTGTGCCCCTGGGATGGGCGTGGTGGGGACTGAATATGCTGACTGGAATGATTCTAGAACCAAAATAAAGCTGGGGCAGGAAGGAAGGGGCTTCCAGGGAGCCCTGCTCAGCCCCGAATCACCTCCGTCTCTTCTCTAGGAATCAGGGACTCAGGCCTCCGTGCGGGTTACTGTGAGCACTCCTCCCCCTGCTGCAGGGTGCCCAGAGTGGAGGGAGGCCCCAGTCTGGTCAGGAGACCATCACAAGGACCGATGCCATTGGGCTGCCTGGGAAGCTCAGAGAAGGGGCCCTGAAGCAGGCCAGGCAGGGGGGGATGGTGGCAGGGAATATCAAGGAAGGCTTCCTGGTGGTGTCGCTGAGCTGAGTCTTCAGCGCTCCTTCTTGGAGCATATCAGGTGGACAGGCCGAAAAAGCATTCCTGGCAGAGGGAGCAGCATATAGAAAAGGGCAAGAGTGGGCAAAAATGTGGGCAATTTATGGATCTTGCTAGAGCAAAGTTGGGGGAAGACGAGAGAAGGGAGCCAAAGGAGAGGCTTGGAGGTGAGAAGGGCTGTCTGAGCTCAGGGAGTGCTGGGTCTCAGCCTGGAACCCTGCAACCCTTGGAGGTAGGTGCTGTTGTCATCCTCTTTTTTGCCCACATGGAAACTGAAGCTCAGAAAGTTTAGGTAGGGGCCGGCCCCGTGGCCAAGTGGTTAAGTTCTCACACTCCGCTTTGGCGGCCCAGGGTTTCGTCGGTTTGGATCCTGGGCGCGGACATGGCACTGCTCATTAGGCCACGTTGAGGCAGCGTCCCACATCCCACAACTAGAAGGACCCACAACTAAAATATACAAATATAAAAATGTACTTGGGGGATTTGGGGAGAAAAAGCAGGAAAAAAAAAAAGAAAGAAAGAAAGGTTAGGTAACTAGCCCAAGATCACACAGCCAGAAGCTCTCGGAGCTGGGATTCAAGCTCAGGCTGTCTGGCTCCAGATCTCACGCTCTTAACCACTAAGCCACGCCGCCCCCTTGCCCAGCTCTTTGAGGGTGGAGCTAAGAGGCAGCAGAGAAGCAAAGCTCTTCTGTATCCCAGGCTACTCTGGTTTTCCCCCCCTCCCCTGCCCTGCCCTGGAAGATGACAGCAAGTGTGGGAGGAGGAGGAGGATCTGGGTGGGAATTCCCCACAGGCCCCGGGAGGCCTGCCCACCACAGGGCCTGACTAGGAAGAGCTTGTGTGGAAGCCCCCCGCCCACACCAGGCAGACAGGGGTAACCAGTCAGGCCGCTGCAGGAGCCCATGATGGGTGGACACCAGGGAAGGCTTCCCAGAGATGGAAGCAGGAGTGCTGGCCTTGCGGGGCAGGGAGGACGGTGCACCTGGAGGAGGGAGAGGGGCCTCCAGGCATGAACTGCCTGCACAAAGGTGTCACGTGTGTCTGGGGAGCCACAGCCGGCTGAGGCTGGAGGTCAGGTGGGGCTAAGCTGTGGAGGATTCATGTCCAGGGTAAGGCCTAAGGTCCTGGTCCTGCAGGCAGTGGGGAGCCACAGAGGGGTGCTGAGCAGGAGCAGGCCAGAGGGATGAGGAGGGAAGTCAGCAAGCGCCACTCTTGATCAGTGAGGGGCAGTCAAGCTGCCTGTAGGTTTCAGGTTCATCCAGCAGGGCCCAGACGGAAAGCCCCCCGTTTCGTCTTGCCCCTTCCTCCTCCCCACTCTTGCCCCCTCCTCTAGCCCCAGGCGCATGGGCCTGCCTCGAGGGTCCCAGGCCCCCTGTGTTTGGGAGCCTTCAGGGATAGGCCGAGACCCGCCCAAGAGCGCAGGTGTGAAGGTCACTGACCTGACCAGCGGCATTGGCTGGGCCAGGCCTGAGTGTGGGAGGAGCAGGATGAGTCACTTTAGAATCCAAATTGACAGCAACTCCAAACTTCACTTCCTCTCTGCTGCCTGCGGTCGTCTGTGCCTGCAGACACCGGAAGGGACAAACCGAGAGGCTAAATAAACACTAAGACTGGGCCACAGGGCTCCATCGCTCTCCGCCCAGTCCCACCACATTATCAACCTTCCCAGCCCATCCAGAAGGATCAATTATGGCAAGGCGGGGGCGGGAGGCCTGCGTCCCCAGCCCTGGGCTCCATCAAATGGCAGCTGGGGTTGAGTTGGCCTCAAGGAGGCTGGACAGAAAGAAACTTGGAAGAAAGGGCCCCTCTGGGTTCCGCCTGCCATAGACTGGTCTGCTGCTTATTTGCTGTGTGACAGCTCCCCTCCCTTCGAGAGCCTCAGCTGCCCCATCTGAAGAATGAGCGTATTGGACAAGAAGGCCTGTAAAATCCCCCTGCACCTCTGACGTTCGGGGATTCTGTGTGTAGGGCTCTAGAGCCCAAATGCCCGGCTTAGAATCCCAGCTCCTCCATTTACCAGCTGTGGGAACTTGGGCAAATTATCTGTCCCCTTTGGACCTCAGTTTCCCCATTTGTCAATGGAAGATAAGAATTATACATAGTTCATAGGCTGGAATGAAATGACACATGCCAAGTATATGGCATACAGTAAGTGCTCTGTAAACTCGAGGTCAAGGCTTTGGGTGGAGGTGTTCTGGCCAAGGACAAGGGCTCTTGGGATCTGGTCTTTGGGATGAAAGGGAGCAGAGGGTACATAGGGAGGCCTGCCAAGGCATCCAAAGGGGCAGGACCACACCTCTAAAGTTCCACCCCCTGGCACCCACTCTCCCCCACCTTCAGCCATCCATAAACACCACACATACCAAGCCAGGAACCCCAAGCAGAGCAGGCAGCCCTGGATGATGATGGTGCAGGGAGCAGAGCGGCCACACGGGGGCAGCAGAGACTCGGCCGGGACCGCAGGAGACTCCAGGGAGGATGGGAGTGGGGTACCAGAAAATGGAGCAGAGGGGCCAAGGCCGTGGGATCCTTGGAGCAGATGGAGGCTGGAGGATGGTCACCTGTCTGCTCGTCCCCCATTCAGGTCACATGCTGTATTCAGTGATCCATGCAACCAAATGTGCCTTTAGTCATTTCTTCAGTTTGTTTATTCTGAGTCAGCCCATCTTCCTTCTTTCCTTTCTTTCTCTCTTGCTTCCTCATTTTCCTTCCTTTCCCCTGTTTGTCCAGCCAGGCAGTCAACTGGTCACAACATCCTGAGCCACAGTGGGGTGCCAGCCTGGGACAGGCACTCCTGTCTGGGGCTACAGAGATGGGTCGAACTTGGTCCCTGCTCTTGAGGTGCTGAAGGCTTGGTTGGGGGCTGGAAGAGCCTGCCTGGCCACCTGCATCCCTAGGAAAAGATTCCACGTCAGACCAAGGGCTGGCCTGGCCACCTCTGCTGGGCTGGGGTCTGCGGGACAGGGACCCACTGTGTGGGGTGCCCAAAGGACTCTGGGCTTGGGACTGGTGGGGCCTCAAGGAGCTGAGTTGCCCACAGGCTGGTGGTAAACAGCAGCCACAAAAAAACAGTGAAACAGTAAACAGTACCCTGGCGAGGCAGCCTGTGACCCGGGCCACCTCCCCACTCCAAAATAAACTCCAAGAAAACAGTGCCATCCAGGGCTCAGCAATGTCTGAAATTTGGGGAAATTCCCTGCCAACCAGGACTGATTTCCCTGGCCCGGTGGCTAATCTTCCTCCTGCAGAAGCACAAGCATAGAGCGGGGTGAGGCTGGGGTTTAACACCAGGAGATCTGGGTTCAAATCCTGCCTCTGCGTCTTGCTAGCCTGAGACAAGCCGCTGCCTTTCTCTGAGCCTCGGTTCCCAAATCTGTAGCATGGGAGAGGCAGGTCGCCCACTCAGTCTGAGAGCTGAGCGGAATAATGCACAGGAGGTGCGATTTCAGAGAGAGCCCAGCTTCATGGGCAGACCTGTGTTCAAATCTGGATTCTGCCTCTTACTAGCTGTGGATCTTAGACAAGAACTTAAACTCTCTGCGTCTCAGGTTCCTCATCTGTGAAATGGGGTAACAATTCCCACCTGTTGGAGGACAGTGCCTGCACATGGTGAGCAATCCATTAATGGGCGCTGTTATTATTAGGAAATGTCCAGTGAAACTGAAGTGTGACACATGTCAAGGGTGTCATTAGAGTGATTATCTCTATAGCAACCAAGGCCAAACATGTCTGCCTGCCTTTTAGCTCCCTCCACCCCTGGCCCAGCCCCACCTGCCTCCCAGCCTGGCCACCCAAAGCCTGATGACAGAGCAGCGGGAGGATAGGGGATGACGAAGCTGACAGTTGATCACAGGTGGACGGGGCCCCTCCCCACCACTCCTAGGGGCGGGGCGCCCTGCTCAGTGGCAACACACCCAGCCCAGCCAACTCACTGCCCAGCCCTGTGGCAGTTTCGGGGAGGAAGGAGCGCCTGAAGGGTGGGGAAGTCCTCCGATGCCCCCAACATTCAGCCTGCTGACCGTGGCCTGGGACGAGCTTGGCCCAGGAGTCAGGGTCCGGGCCCTGCCTCTCTGCAGGGGGCCCTGACTCCCGCTCCGGCTGCCTCTTGGGGCCACAGTGAGGTTCCAAGGGGGCTGGCAGTGCTATCTCCCGTCATGGGATGACGTCACGACCTGCTTTGGCGAGGGCGTGAAACTCAAAGACTTCTGCCCTCTGTTCCTTTGAGCTTTGACGAAAACACTCAGTCTAGGATCTGGGGAGGCCCTTGTGCCCATTGTTAAAAGATTTCAATTCTGGCTGCTAACAAGGGTGGGAAATGAGGTGACAGTGGGTTTCCAAGTCAGTTCTCTATTTATTCCTCCACTATCCAGGTCTGTTTAACCCTCAGCCTCACCCCCAGCACCAGCTCCCTAACCCAACCTTGCCCTCCATCTCAGGAAGGACTGCGGGCCCCCTAAAGCACCCCCGCCCCTTGCCTCCATACCTTGCATATGCTATTCCTTCGGTTTGGAACACCCTTCCCTTCCCCCATCTGACAGGGTCTCACTTCTTCCTCAAGACTGGCCTCTCTTCTCAGAAGGGTTTCCTGACCCCCTAACCCAGGGAAGGAGCCCTCTGTCCTACGCCCATCCCACTGCCGGTCCCTCCCTCCACTGTTGCTCTCGTCACACCGTGGTCCTGCCTGTCTCCCATTTGAGGCCAAGGGCTTCTCAAGGTAGGGACTTTGTCTTGAACGGTTCAGGGTCCCCAGGCCCTTGGGCACAGAGGGGCCATCAGTGTTGGGTTAAAGAATAGGAACCACTCACACATGGCACCAGCCAGACCCTGCTCCAAGCACTTCATAGATGGAAGTTTCCATTACTTTCCCCAGATTATGCCCCAGCCAGAGGGGAGGCAGGCAGTGACCCACCTGCAGCGAAACTTCCTGGTGCTGGCTAGGGGCAGGCGGGCCAGGCCTGGCAGTGCCACCACTGACCCATAAGGGCGTGCCCGGGTCACTCCCTTCCCACCTGGCCTGAAACACCTGGAGGGAGGACTGTGGTATGCTCTGTCTCCAGAGCCCTGGGGGAAATGCACTTTCATTCATTCATTCATTCACCAATGCTCAGTGCCCCACCTATACTGGGTCCCCAGGACCCAGTCCCTGTCCCCACCAAGCCCGTAGGTGAGCATGGCAGACCCCCACCTCTCTCCTCCCAGGGGAAGTGAGCCAGGTGCCTCCTCTTTCCCTGTCCACCGCCCCCCCCCACACACACACTGTCACTGTCCAGCTACTTGTCTCCTCCCCATCAGATCAGAGTGCCCTCCTGAGGACAGAGGCTGAGTCTGGGTGCCCCCTCCTGTGGCCTCGGCGCCTGCACCCAGGAGGTGCTCAATAAATGTTTCTTTAGCGGCTGAATGGCACGGGAGGGGAAGGGTCCGAGCCCGGCCGCCCCGCCCGGCCGCCGGAATCCCGGCTCGCCTCTCACCTGGGCCCGGCCGCCCGCCCCGGCGCGCCCTCCCGGCTCGACTTCCTCCCGCCGCCCCGCCCCTTCCACATTCCTGCCCCGCCGGGCCTCCCCGGCCCCGCTCCGGCCCCGCGCCCGCCGCCCGCCGGCCCCGCTCCGGCCCCGCTGCGGCCCCGCGATGAGGGCGGCCCAGGCGGCGGCCGAGGAGGCGCCGCCAGGAGTGCGGTCGGTCAAGGTGGTCCTGGTGGGCGACGGCGGCTGCGGGAAGACGTCGCTGTTGATGGTCTTCGCCGAAGGGGCCTTCCCCGAGGTGAGTGCCAGCGCTCCAGCACGGCGCCCGGGGCCTGCGCGCATCCCCCGCTGGGCGCCCCGTGCGCCCCGTCCGTGCCGGAGCTGCCGAGGCTGTGCGCCCGCCCCGGCCTCCCCAGGGGTCTCCCAGCAGGACACGAGATCAAAGAGAGTTCTCCCTCTGCCAGCGGGGTGGGGGGAGGTGAAGGCCTCAATATCATCTGTGAAGTGGCAAGAATGGCACCTACCTGGGAGAGGTGTCACAGGGGCTGACTTAGGCCACCTGGTATGAGGCAGGTCCTAAGGGAGGACTTGGTGGCCCAGCGTGGCTAAGAGGGACTCACGACTCTGGAGCCAGACTGCCTGTGTTCGATTCATGGCTTTGCCACTTCCAGCTGTGTGCCCTTGGGCAAGTCCCCTACCTTCTCTGTGCCTGTTTCCTTATGTGTGTAATAGGAATAATGATGGCGCCCACCTCCCAGGGTCACTGTGAGGAGTGACTTAGTACAGGTCAAGGGCTCAGCTTTGAGCCTGCAACAGGAAGGACTGGTGGCACACGTCTTTCTTGGGAAACATCGTCTCCCAGATCTTGCCCCTATAGTGGACATCCCGTGGGCTCTGCTTTGGAGGGCAGGAGCACACCAGACCCCAGTCAGACAGCTGGGTGGCATCTTGGCTCTCGTCTAATGGACTGTGTGGCCCTCGGTACATTGCTTAGCCTCTCTGAGCCCCCGTTTCCTCATACAACCTCATGGGGAGGGGGGACCCTAGGGTGGTGGTGAGATGGAATTAGGGTAAGGCTGAGAGACGAGCCCGAGTGGTACCTGGCACGTCCTTGATGCTTTGGGCACATTGACTGTCAGTCCTTCACTAGATGCTCCCTGACTGTCCACGCGGACTCCCCAAGCGCCAGGCAGGGGCTGGCCCACCCACCGTGCCACCTCTCAGCCCCGTTCTCCTGGGAGTCCGTGGGGTCGCTTCCAGCATCTCTTCTCCCTCCTGCCTATCCCCGCATCCTCCAAACCCCTGGGGTTGCGCAGGCCCTGGGGAGTCTGATGGGAGAGGCAGGAGGGGCTGGCCTGGGAACAGTGTCGGGCCTTTCTTTCCACTGTGGCAGCACTGAGCTGACTCTTGTGTGGTTTATGGTGCTGACGTCACCTCCTCTGGCTGGTCACATTTTTTTTAAGTTGGAGGGGGATGTGTTTCTGGGCCCCTGGATGCTGCCCGTGGGAACCCAACAATTATGGCACAGTGAGGAGAGCACCACAGAGGGTCCAGGCCGGCTGGGGCCCAGGAGAGGGGCTGGCAGGGGTGGCGCCTCACCACCCGTGTCCTGGGCTCTGAGACATCCTTGATGGTGAAACCCGTCCGATTTCAGAGAGGTTACAATGTGGAAAGGGGCATCTTGCAGTTGACGAAATGCGTGTGTTGAAGGGCACACAGGCTGGCCAGGGGAAGGAGGGCGTGCTTGTCACCAGGCGAATAGACCCGGCCTTGTCTAGGTGCCTCCCCCGTTTGGGGACCCTGATTCTCCGAGACCCCTCTGCCTCTCTTTGTTTAAAAGAAACACAAGGTCCAAGAGCGGGAAAGGCCTTTATTTTACAGTTGGGAAAACTGAGGCCAGAGACACAGAGCCTTACCTTGAGGAACTGGGCCCAGCAGTGGCAGAACAGGTCTAGAACCCAGGTCTCCCCACCCTGGACCAGGACACTCTCCACAGACCTCATTTCTCTGCTGTTGGACCAGCCTGCGCCTGTTCCTGCCCCTGGACTCCTCCTCCTGGCAGCCCTCCACACCCGGGAGCCAGCAGCTAGAAGATTTGGGGTCCTGTCTTCCAGGCCTCCTGCTGCAGCAGAAAGCAGAGAGGAGGCTGCAGTTTGGAGGGGCCTCGGTGACCCTTGTCTGGCTGTAGCCTGCCACCTGCCTCTCCTGAGGTCACCATCTCTAGCCTCTGGTGCCAGGAGTGGGCGGAAAAGCCCCATTCCCGGGTGTGGGGGTGGGTTGCACCTCCAGCTTGTAATTGTCACAGCCCTGCCCCCTGCCCTGGGTTCAGGGCAGGGGGAGCAGAGAAGGGAGAGCTCCCAAGGCAGCGGGGAACTCCAGGCTGGGCGCCAGCCTCTGCCCAGTCCTGGCTGGCATTTGGGGCAGCAACCATTCCACAGGGCCAAAGCCCAGGGGCCCACAGAAGGGTGGGGATGGGAGGGGGCAGGGAGCACCAGCTGTGCCTTCCAGAACCAGCTGAGTCCCTCCTGGTCCGCACAGGGACTCCCGTGGGGGTGCTGCCAGGGGAAACCCCTGACTCTCCTCTCTTGAGCTATGTCCCCTGTCCTGCCATGATCCATCCGTCTGTCTGGGAGATCCGTGAGGGCAGACCCAAGCCGGCGTCATTTCTGCCCTGGTCTAGCTCAGGCCCAGCCCTGCTTTTTAGCCGAGGACAGCTCAACAGATAAGATTAGGTGCTTATTTGCTCCATAGGCAGAGAGTCATCCTGCCTGGGGGTCAAAGAACAGGAGAGAAGGTATAGACGGAGTCCGCAGGATGGCGGTCCAGGGCAGGGGGCAGGGCTGTGACAATTACAAGCTGGAGGTGCAACCCACCCCCACACCCGGGAATGGGGCTTTTCCGCCCACTCCTGGCACCAGAGGCTAGAGATGGTGACCTCAGGAGAGGCAGGTGGCAGGGGACAGAGCCTGGCCCCCGGAGCCACAAAGACCTGGCTCCGTCCATAGCCAGCTGTCCAGTGTGTCACTTCCCCTCTCTATCCTCCTCAGGAAAATGGAGATAGAACTGACCTTCCAAGGTTGCAAGGATCAGAGGCAGTGTAGGTAAAGGGCCAGGCATGCTAGCTCCCTAGAGAGTATGGGTGACCGTGGCATCTCCACGGGCATTTGCAAGGTCCTGACACGTGTCCCCCAAGAGCTGCCCTGTACCTCAGATCAGGACGGTTCCTGCGCAGGTGCGTGGGTGACCAAGCTGGGACCTTGGCAGGTGTCTGTGCCCTCCCCAGTGACAGGCTGGGGAGGGGCTGGGGCCAGGGGTGCCACCTAGAGGGACAGACAGCCGCCGGTGTGGACGCTGCCCTGGCAGCCAGATTTCTAAGCGCGGGCATTTATGCTGGGCCTCCCCTGCCAGCCGGTCTTCTTATGACACTGTGAAGGACGCTCTTCTCTAACCAGTGAGAAGACTGGCCCAAGGTCACACAGCTGGTGAGCACCAGACCGGTCCTAAGCCAGGCACATCTGATTCCAAAGCCAGTGCTCCTAGCCACCATGTCACACTGTCCCCCACCAGGCAAAGGGCCTGAGGGGAGGGGCCCTGGACAGGCAGGGGGCCCCTGAGGAGGTGGCTGGAGCCTTTGTCTGTTCCTATTAGTAGAAAGACTGACAGGTGGCTAGAATCGAGGGTGGGTTGAACGCCTACCCCAGGGCCACCCTCGACTTTTCCATCTGTCCCAGCTTACCACTCTGGAACCTTCCTTTCTTCTCACTCTCCCCCTGAAGCCTCCCGAGTTCCCTGGAAGACCACACTGACCCACGGTGGAGGGGCTGCCCCTCCCAGTGTCCAGGGCCCGACTCAGGCAGGCAGGCAGGCTCAAAGTCCCCCTGAGTCATGGGCAGGTGGGGGCTCCACCGGGCATAGGAAGGGCTAAAGACAGGGTCCCCTCAAGCTGTGGTCCCACTGACCAGCCCTGAGCAGGTGAGCAAGGCCTGGCGACTCAAGATGCAGCGGGTCCAGCGTACACCTGGGGGCAAAAGGCTTGTGTTGTGGCAGAGTCTGGAAAACCTCCTCGCCTGTTGCTCAGACCCCATCCGTAAAATCTCCCACTCTTATTCCTGCATTTGTGTTCAAAACCCGTCCTGCTGCCATTCATCCAGCCTTTATGGAGAGGGAGCAAGCTCAGGCCGAGCGGGCACTGGGGTGGAGGGACCTCTGGCCTGGATGAGCTCCTCCTGAAGCCAGACAGGGCAAGCAAGGGAGGCAGAAACAGTGCAGGGGCTGTGGGAGGGCATCCAGAAAGGCATCCTGGGGGAGGTGGCATTGGGCAGGGGTCTTGGTTGGATTGTGAGAGGCTGAGAGGTGAAGGAGGGACCCCAAAAAGCTACGTGCTCCCCAGGGCAGACACCAAGTCTTGTTTATTACTTGCTCCCCAGTGTCCAGAACCAGACCTAGAAAAGGTGCTAATGTTTACTGAATGAATGAATGAATGCATGAGCCAACGAATGTAGGTTAATGTCATTCCGGGAGGAGGGGACAGCATGAAGGAAAGCTCAGAAATGGGGCAGTCCCCCACCCAGGGGGACAAAGATAAAAATAACAGTAGCTGGCACGTGTAGAGAGCTTATTCTGTGCCAGGCCCCATGCACGGAGCACCTCACGGAGTCCTTACAGCCACACGCCGCGGCAGGTGCTCTCAATGCTCCCACTTTCCAGTCGAGGAGGCCGGGGACGTTCGGTACCCTGCCGGGGCACACAGCTAGGAAGTGGCAGCTCTGGGCCGCGGCAGCTCTGGGCCACGACACCACCAGCCAACGACTTCCCAGAGACCAGTACACTCTACTGACTCCCAGAGTGGCGGCGCCATGGGCCTGGGCAGCCTGGGGCCACCTCCCTTCAGCTGCCATCTTCATGGCCTCTCCCTGCCCCCTCCTTCCTAGAACTACGCCCCCACGGTGTTTGAGCGGCTCACCGTTACCTTGCAGATGAAGGGCAAACCCGTGCACCTCCAAATCTGGGACACGGCAGGTGGGTGTGCAGGGCTGGGGGCGGGGCGTGGTGGAGGAGGGACCCCAGATGCTCAGGAGCCAAGCCCCACTCCCTTCCTTCTGGATCAGGGAGGCCAACGAATCTCCCAGGAACAGGTGTTGGCCGAGATTAGGGGCCCCCCCCAGGAGCCTGAATCCTCCCTGCTCCTGCGCCTGCTGCCTCCCCCAACCCAGGGCAGCCCACTGTGTCCTGGAGACCAGCGGAGTCCAGAGCTCTTTGCTCTAGAGGGTGGGCTGTTCTGGCCTCCTAAGTAGCCCCCCTGGCTTCAGCTTCTGGAAGGTCTGCCTGACCTTGCCCGCACGAAGGTTAGAGTCAAATCTACGCTGGAGCTGAAAGCTAACCTCAGGGAACCCTAGCAGCCCCTCACCTTGGGTGGGCTAAGCTGTCTTTGCCGGGGTCCCGCTTGCCTCTTTCTCCTCACCCCTCAAGCCCAGGGCAAAGCAGGCTTCAGAGTAATGGCCTCAGTCCTCCAGGCCTGGCCTCTGCCGTGCCTGCCACTCTTTCCATAACAAGGCTCTCTCAGCAGGGGGGTCTCATCCAGACCAGAGATGGCACGTCCCATGGGCAGGCCAAGTGCCTTCTGCCCTGAGGGGGACATTCACATGGAATGACCACTCAAGTGCCAAGTTTGTGTCGGACCCTGAGGGGCCCAATGAGCCCCTGATCAAGACTCCTCATCTGGTGGGATGACCTCCCTGATGTTGGAGGGTGCTGACATGAGCAGGCGATCTGGAAGGAGTGACCATCCCCCCTCTGCCCAGGGCAAGTTGATTATGACCGCCTGCGGCCCCTGTTCTACCCTGACGCCAGTGTCCTGCTCCTCTGTTTCGATGTCACCAGCCCATACAGCTTTGACAACATCTCCAACCGGGTAGGTACTGGGCGGGCAGGGAGAGACAGCCCCCATAGCCTGGTCACTCTGCTCTGACCCTACCCTTGACCCAGCAGACTGTCAGAGCTAGGCAGGCCCTGGATGACATCGAGTCCAATGCCTTTGGCATATATATTGGGAAACTGAGGCCCAGAGCGGGACAGCAACTTGACCAGGGTCCCATGGGAATTTGGTGGGATCTGGCCTCTGACTCCCAGTCCAGTGCTTCCTGACTGCTCTGTACTGCAGATTCAGAAGGCTGTGGCTCTTTCCACTGTGACCCTGCCTGAGAATGCTGGGCGACCCAGAGACCCCTGCATCTCCCCAGCCTGGGCCTGCCCAAGGTCGCATGAACCCTCCGCTTCCAGCAGCTTCCAGCAGCTCTCAGCCCCCAACGGCATGACTGCCGGCTCTCAGCGGCCTCCCAGGGTGCCCCCCAGTTCTGTCAGGGATGCAGTCCCTCGGGTTCCCCTGCTCCTGCCGCCTCCAGCTGTGGCACAGCCCCTCCCCCACTGCTGCCAGGGCCTCCGTGCAGCGGCCTGCTCCAGGGTTCCTGAGAGCAAGCCGTGACGGCATTAGTAATAATAACCAGAGCATTCATGGAGGACTCACCGCGAGCCGGGCACTGTTCCGGGCACTTAACACATATTTACTCATCTTACCCGCTAACCCCCTTATGGAAAGGATACCATTATTACCCCAGGTTAGATCACTTGCTCCAGGATACACATCTATTAGAGTGCTAACACGGATATTTGAACCAGGCAGTCATGCAAAAGTATTGCCGGAGTACCTCTCTGTGCCAGGCACTGTTCCAGGCACCAGGACCGGGCAGGATGGTGGTGGTGGTGGGACGGGGGTGCTAGCAGAGGGGGTGGTGAGAGGTGGGTGGATTCTGGATCTATTTTGAAGGCAGAGCCATCAGGATTTGCAGATGGATTGGATGGGGGTGGGAGAGAGACATTTTGACCAGAGCAACTGGAAGGGGGGACTTGCCATTTCCCAAGAGGAGAAGGAGCAAGCTGGGTGTAGGGAGGGGGGAGAGGGGGGCGCCTTTTGGACATCCCAGTGGAGGTGGCAGGCAGGGAAGCATCTGGGTCTGCAGTTCCCGGGAGAGGGCCGGGCCGGGCTGGGCAGATCCGTTTAGGAGCTGCTGGTGGGGAAGAACCTGGACTTGGGAGGGTTGGGGGGAGGTCACCTGGAAAGCAAGAGCAGCCAGAGGAGAGAGAGCCCACAGCTTGAGCCCCAGGATGGCATGGGGTGGGGAGACTCCAGGGGGGCTGAGGGGAGCGATCCCCGGTGTCAGGGCTCAGGTAGGATGAGGGCTAAGGAGTCACTGTTGGATTTAGCAAGATGGAGTCACAGAGGAGACCCTTTTCAAGGGCAGTTTTTGGAGGGGTGGGGTGTGGGGAGTCTGCCCAGGACCCCACACGGGCCCCATCTGGCTCCAGGAGCCAGGCAGTTTGATGCCGGGTTTTCCTGCAACTGAGCTGGCACGCGCTCCTGGAGATAGAAAGCCCCCGTCTCTGGACTCCAGGCCCCCTGGTTGTAGTCCAGGCTGAAATAACCAGGCCCCGGAGGCTCACATTCCAGAGAGCAGCTGACACGGGAAAGGAGTGCTCCCTCCAACAGGCCAACAGCTGCTGCAACCATTTTGTGAGCTGCTTTATTTTTAAAGGATCACTTATTTCCTTATATATCTTACCCAGCTGGGGAGGTGGACATGGGAACCCTCACCTTGCAGAGGCAGGATTCTAGAACAAGGGGGAGCAGGGCTCTGGGCCCAACCCCCTGGGCTCAAATCCTGCCACTTCCAGTTGTGTGACCAAGGCCAAGTTATGTAGCCTCTCTGAGCCTCAGTTACTGCATCTGTACAATGGGATTGATCATAGAACTTGCTTCACAAGGACTTGGGTGATGGATGGCTTCACATGGGTAGGCTTAGAGCCTGGCACAGCATAGTTCTCCCTAAACGTTGGCTGTGCTTATTGTTGTGGCGTCTGCCTGGGGAGCAGGAGAGGGGCCGTGGCCCATTCTCCCCATCTGCTGCCGAGAGGGATGGAGGCTCACACACACACCCTCGCCCCCACCCTCCCCACAGTGGTACCCCGAGGTGAATCACTTCTGCAAGGAGGTACCCATCATCCTCGTGGGCTGCAAGACTGACCTACGCAAGGACAAGTCGCTGGTGAAGAAGCTGCGGAAAAATAAGTTGGAGCCCGTGACCTACCACAGGGTAGGAAACCCAGCCCAGGGGTGGGGGGGTGCCAGGAGAGGGAACCTGTGGGATGCGCTGATCCAGCCCAGCCTCTCAGCTGCACGCTCAGGGTGTGAATCAGGGTAGGGGTTGTCTGGGAGGTGGTCGTGGGTCGGGAACTGCCAGTGCGTGGAAGTGGTACCTAGAATACTCCGGAAGTTTCCCCTTGTGGAATGGAGGGCGAGTGGTGTGCACGGCAGATAGTCCTCCCCACCCACAGATGGGGGACCTGAGGCCCAGAGGGGACCCCCAGCTCTTCAGTCTGCAGGCCCCTTTCTGCTACAGGCCTGGCTCAGGCTGGGAAGTTCATTAGTTGGCGCCTTGAGAGGCAGAGACCCAGCCCAGAGCTGAGGCAGGAAACCCAAAGAAGCCATGGATGCACTTGGCCAAGCCAAGGGGCAAGAGATGTGGGTGCCCTGGAAAAATGCACCTCTTGTCCTGGAGACGCCCTAAGATGGCCAAGAGGGCTGTGGGGAGGCTGGATGTGAGCCCTCCCAGGGTTCGCCACCCTATGCCTCACGGCAGCCCTGTCCACTCTCCCCATTAGGGCCAGGAGATGGCAAGGTCCGTGGGCGCGGTGGCCTACCTCGAGTGCTCAGCTCTGCTCCACGAAAACGTCCACGCCGTCTTCCAGGAGGCGGCCAAGGTGGCCCTCAGCAGCCGCAGTCGCAACCTCTGGCGTCGTATCACCCGGAGCTTTTGTGTGGTGACCTGATGGCTTGGGGCCCTCCCTGCCCTAACTGCCCTAGCCGCATAGGAAGCCCAGTTGGCTGGCTGGACTGGGTCCCCAGGCTGTGACCTCCGCTGTGCACCTTAAACCGATGGGCACCACCAAGGCCTGGCCCCCAACCCTGGGGCTGGGATCCCTGGACTAGAGCGAAACCCCTCTGAGGCCTGAGGAAAGGCGTTCCTGGGCCCACCCACCCCACGATGGCTGGTCCTGGAGACCCCTGGAATCACCAATAGACAGACTCCCAGCTCCCAGCCTTGGACCACACATCCTGGGGTGGCCTGTGCAGCCTGGCGCCACCTTGTGGCTGTTCCCAGGGCTGCACCTTCAGGACCCGGTTCCTAGGACCCTCGGGCCAGAGCTCACACCCTGCCCCTTTCCCCCTCCTCCTGCCCCTCCCAGTGGTAATTAACAACTAAAGTGACATCACTTGTCAGTCTTGCCATGCCTCTTGTTTCGAAATGCCTTTACACACGTGTTTCATGGTGGATAAGAGCCCAGCCCACGGAGATGCCAGAGTGGAACTACCTGGATCCAAACTCGGGTTTATCGCTTCAGGACCTCGGTCAAGTTACTCCAACCCCGCGGGCCTCAGTGTCCTCATCTGTGAAATGAGACCAATCACAGCTGATGTCATGGAGCTTTTGGATGAGTAAGAGTGTGATGAGACACAGGCAAAGAGCTTGGCAGGGGCCTGACACACAGTAATTGCTCACAAAAGATTCACAGCTATTCCTTGTGTGATAATAAATACAATTGATAATAGTGTATGGATGTAATATATGTCATACAGTCGATAATATTGGATTAGGGTTCTCCAGAGAAACAGAACCGATAGATTAGAGAGAAAGAGAGAGAGAGGAATTGGCTCACACGATTGTGGGGGCTGGCAAGTCCAAAACCTGTAGGGTAGCCTGGAGGTTCAGATGAGTCAATCTTGCAGTCTTTTTTTTTTATTAAAGATTGGCACCGGCGCTAACATCTGTTGCCAATCTTTTTTTCTTCTTCTTCTTCTCCCCAAAGCCCCCTGGTACATAGTTGTATATTCTAGTTGTGAGTGCCTCTGGTTGTGCTGTATGGGACCCCACCTCAACATGGCCTGATGAGTGGTGCCGTCTCTGCGCCCAAGATCCGAACCAGCAAAAACCCGGGCCCGCTGAAGCGGAGCACGTGAACTTAACCACTCGGCCGTGGGGCCGGCCCCGAGGTTGCAGTCTTGAGTCTGAATTCTGCAGGGCAGCAGGCTGGAGACAGGCAGGATTTCTGTGTCGCTGACTTGAGGCAGCTTGCTTTCTTCATCAGGAAACCTGTCTTTTCTCTTAAGGCCTTCAACTGATCGGATGAGGCCCACCCACATAGAATCAGACAGAACACCCACCCCCTCAGTTTCATTAGAAACAGCTCCAGGGGAGGGAACACTTCCTCCAGGTGAGGGCTCATGGCTCAGGTTACAGAGCTGAGCTGAAGCAGGTGGAATGATGTTAGGGGCCTGCTGGGAAACCCCACCTGGATTATAGGCTCCACTCTGGGGTTTTAGTATAAGCTGCTCAGGAATGGGAAACAACTTTTCCCGGCCTACATTTCTAGCCTGATTGCTCCTCCCCCAAGCACACCCCATGCCCAGAATGTGCTTCCCTTTTCTTCCCTTTCCTGCCAGCCCCCAAGCCCAGTGAGCTAAGTCCAGCTCAGATATCTCTCTTCTCTGGTTTCTTAAAATGTGTGTTCCTGGAGCCCTTGGTAGCTGTGTTGCTATGATGCGTTTCACACTGACGTCTTCCACATCTGTCTTCTTGCACAAGACCTCAGCTTCCTTGACGTCTGGATCCTTGTCTCCTTCATCTCTTTGTTCCCAGCCCTCAGTCGAGGCTGTGGGTTGGCCTACTGGCATTGCAGAATGTTCCATCTCTGGAGTCAGAAGCAGATCCGGGTTCGAATCTCAGTCCTGCCGTTTTCTATAGCTGTCTGATCTTATGAGAGTTACACTCTCTGAGCTTCACTATCCCATCTGGCTGAAGTTCAACTCAGGCCATCGCTGCACTTCCCAGCATGCATGCTGGAAGGTCCAGGCCAGAGAAGTGCTCTCTGTGAGCAGAGGGCAGCATGATGGGGGTCAGGACGGGGGGATACAGTGGTATGCAGGGGCGGGGCTTCTGGAGCCACTGCACAGAGGAAGAAGTGGGCACGTGTCCAGTCTGGTGGGGGCTGCTGGAGAGGAGGGTCCTTGCAGGGGAGCAGTTGAATCAGGAACGCACACATTCAGTTTCTCTCCAGGCGCCACCCTTGGCCACCCTCTTTCACTTTCTTCGAGAGCTCATCACCATTCGCCATGGTTCTGTCTCCCCACTGGATTGCCAGCTCCCCGAGAGCACGGACTGGCTTGGTTGGAATGCCCTGTGCCTCACACCGTGCCCAGCATATAGGAAGCACTCAGGACAAACGTGATGAGTGAGTGGATGGATGCTGTGGGTCAGTGTTCCGCTTCAGGCCCTCATCGGCTCCCGCCTAGATCACCACATGAGTCTCTCAGCCTCCTTGCTCCTCCTCATCATCACCAGAGCCATTGTCCAAAGCACAGATCCAGTTATGCCACCCTGAGCCTTCCGCAGCCCCTCCGCTCAGAGAAGGAGGTCCAACTTCCCTGGCTGGGGACCCAGGACACCTGACACTTAGCCTCACCTAGGGAGCCATACCTGGGGAGCGCTAACGACCATACTAGCCTCCAAGCCTTTGCTCAGGCTGTTGCCCCACCTCTGCATGCCCTTCCTCCCAAACGCTGCCTACTCAACCCCTGGTCCCCCAGCTCCTTCAGAAGCCAGCTCAGCTCAGGCACCACCTTCTCCGGGAAGCCCCTGGGTCTGGCGGCCTCTTCCCTCCCACCTCACTGCGTGGCAGGAACGCACCCACACACCAAAGCGCCCATTGTCTCTGCGCAGGCCCTGTAGCTAAGGAACCGGGCTTTTCTTCCCGTGCTGTGGGAAAGGCCAGGTTGGACTCCTTTAGATGACAGGTCTGTTGGCGGGACAAGGCGGGATCGCTGAGAGGGCGAAGGTGGGAAGGGGAGATCACTTGGGCAGCTGCAGGTGTCCAGACACAAGAAACAAGCCACCACACGTCAAGGCCAGGTGACTTCTGGGCTGGGAAGCCGCGATGGTGCCGAGGGTGGACTGCGGGAAGGGTGGGGACTCTGAGAGTGAGGGAAGAATGCAGGCCTCTCCCAGTGCGTGCGTGCGTGCGTGCGTGCATAAGAAACATGGAGAAGGCGAGCCCTGTCCCTGAGACACCGGCACTGGGAGAGGTGGGCCCGTCGGTTGGCCGATTTCCAGCTTCAGGCCCCCATCCCGCCAGGTGGCCGTGCAGCCCTCCCGGGTGTCACAGGAGGGCACAGTGAGTGGCAGCACTTGGAGACAGGGCCGAGGAGCCAGGACTACTGTTACGGGTTGTTGTTATCCTCTCCGCCTCCTCCTTGCCCACCAAGCCCCTCTTTCGATTCCTCACAGCCCCGCCTGGCAGGGCTGCCCGGCCAGACGAGTGGGAGACGGGGAAGGCGCAGCCCAGAGGCCCGCTGGGGCCAAGAGCCACAAACCACAGTGTCTTCATTTCTCCACGCCGCCTCCGCCCAGCCTTGGGGTTGTCTGCCGGGAAGGCAAGGGGTGGGGGTGGGGACCCCAAGTCATCTCCTCCAGGACAGGCCGCTCCCTGGCATCTTCGGGCAGGCAGGGTGGGGCGCACTCTGTGAGTCATGAAGCGTCCCTCTCCCCTCTGCCTGCACAGCACCGGGGCCCCACATCTGGGTGCAGGGAGGGGGTGGTGGCTGGCAGATGACCCCCCCCTTCAGGCCACCCTCTTTCTCTCTCTAGCCTCCCTCTGCTCCTGGGGTCCCTTCCTTTGGTGGGTGAGAACTCATGGCCCCAGGAAGTCATCCCAAAGCCCCTGGCTAGGGAATCAATCAAGCCTGTGACGGGGCTGAGGGGCAGAGCTATCCAAAACAGCAGAACAGCCAGCCGCCCACCCGACATTCCAGGGCTTCATCTCCAAGCTAAATGCTTGGAGTGTGGGAAGTAGGGGATTTTCCTGCGTTCAAATCCTGGTTCTGCAATTTACCAGCTCTGTGACCTTGGACGAGTCACTAGGGGTCTCTCTGTGTCAGTTTCCTTATCTGTAAAATGAGGGTAACAGTAGGACCCACCTCCTGGAGTGTTGGGAGGATTAAACGAGTAGTTAAGCCTCGGTCAGTCTTAACTGCGAATCAGAGTGGTTAACTATGAAATGACGGTCATTATTTACTTTGCAAAGTTGTTGCAGGATCTGCAAAGCAGGAGCGAACGTGGAAGTGTTTGATTGACGTTGGTGCCCTCTTCCCAGCCTGGGTCGCCAAGCCTTGGGAGGAGGAGAGAGGGGGCTCAGACCCTCCTGACGACGAGGACCAGAAGCATCAGAGGGGAGTAGACGTGAAGCATGAAATAGATAGCTCTTTGTAAGGCTGGCAGGACAGGGCTGGACCCTCTGAGGGGAGCCAGAAGGATGGGGCTGGAACTTCTCTAGGGCTCAAGTTTGCAGAGGAGACACAGCCTGGTCCAGGGCTGGGCTCAGGGCAGATATGATGCGTTCAATTAGGAAATATGCATTGGTCATCTGTCGTATGTGGGCCCTGTTCTAGGCAGTGAGCACCAAGTGGTGGGGGGGAGTGAGCAGGATGTGGTCCTTGCCTTCCAAGCTTCCATCCTCCATCCTCCTTTTGAGCTCCAATGTGGGCACAATCAGCAGGGGAGGGGAGCATCCGGTATTCACTCAGAAGCCTGCTCCGGCCATCGGCCATCGGCCATCGAGATCAACAGGAGGGGAGCTGGGGATGGGAGGGCCAGGGAGGTGATTCCCGCTGAACGAAAGACACAGACACGGAGCTCCCCCACCCCACCCGTGCGTCTGAAACAGGTTTGTTTTAGGACCCCTGCTCCTGTCTGCCCACTAGAAGAGCATCACAGGGTCCCGTCTGGCCAGGTGCTGTAGGTGACATTCTGCACATCCTGCCTCACTCAGTCCTCACAACCCCCACTTTACAGACGAGGAAGCAGGTTCAGAAAGCTAAAGAGCGGGACCAAAAGCAGGGAGTGGTGGGGTTGGGCGTGTGGACACGGGAGGGGACAGGACTCCCAGCCCGAGCTCCCGACCTCCCCTGGGCACTGTCCTGGAGGCTGGACCTCGACCAGCAGAGGGCAGCAGGGTCCAAGGAGAGGAGCCATTCCCCAGCACTGGGAGGCTGGCAAGTCAGACCAGGCGTGGAGATGTGCCCCATCACACCTGCCTGGGGCACTTTCGGTGACACACCACTCCCGCCAGTCGCCACCCATGGAGCCAAGCCCACCTCAACATTTTACTGAAGGGAAAACAGGCTCGGAGTGGCCAGGTGACTCAAGCATTCCGCCACTCTGGGCAGACCCGGCATGAGAATCACACTGTCCCAAGTCTGTTATGGGTCTGGGGTCAGAATGTAGGGTTTAAATCCTGGCCCTGCATTTACCACCTCGGAGGATTATAGTCAAGTGTGTGGGCTGGAGTGAGATCAAAGGACACGTCGCCCCGAAGCGCTTCCCATGGGGCCACGTAACCCAGGTTTGCTTAACTTCCTCTATGCTACGCCTGGGGAGGCAGGCTGGGACCGAGGGGTCCGTCCCTGCCCTCCTTTCCCCTCACCCCACCCCAGAATTTGTAACATAGTTCAGGGCGATGATGAAAATACTTAAGAATGTCAAGGAACCCCAAGGGAGTGCTCCCAGAAAGTAAGGTGCTATGGGCCAACAGCTGGGGCACGCCCCGTGTGGCGTGTGGCGAGAACTATCCTGCAGGGCTGGCAGGAGGAGGAGGGAGTGAGAAGAGGCGGATCCAGAGGACTCTGGGGTCCTTCCTGCTGGAGAAGTAGCCCACAGGGACACCCAGACCTTGTGATGGGGTCGGGAGGGTGCTGGGAAAGGTCGGCTGCGTTGCGAGCTCTCTTCTCCCTGTTTTCCCACCAACTAAAGGCCCTAAGTCAAGTGACAAGGGGCTGCCTCCATGGCACTGAGAGGTGACGCCCCTCAGGGCTGCCCTCTGGTCTAGTCTTGCCACTTTAGACACCCTGAGCTCCCCTGGTGTTTTCACTTCCCACCCCAACTCCTCCCCACAAATGAAAAAAAAGAAATGGCCTGATAAAGGGTACTTTACAATACCGTCACCATCACTCGCCCTAGGTCCATTTCTGAGCAACACCTACATCCCCACCTCCAGGTCCGGGACGACCCGACCCACAGGGTGTAGGGGCCAATGTAAATGCCCCCACCACCCTCGTGGCTATCTCTATTACACATCCCTAAGAGCTTCTCCTCTTTCCAATCTCCTTTTCCCCACGCCTCCTGCTGCTTCCTGGGCTCTCCTGCTATTTGTTGTAGTGGTTGCATTTGTCTTGGTTTCCTACTCATTCATTCATTCATTTATTCAACAATTCTTTACTGGGCGTGGACTACAAAATCCCTGCTTTCCAGCCGGGTACCTGGACCCCTCCCTGGTTTCTGGGTCCTCTGTGCAGCCTTGCTGGGAGGCAGTGCCCCTTTCTCTGTGCAAGCCGGGCCACCCACTGGACCCTCACTCTCTCCTGACCCTGGCAGCTATGACATCACCAATGTCACCTCCTCTTCCACCCCCTCACTTGGGACTTTGAATCTGGGGCAAGAGACGAAAAAGGATATTTAAATTCATTCTGGTGATATCGGCAGTATCTTTTTCTTTAACTAGTATATAGAGCTTACTGCATGCCAGATTCTTCTAATAGTAACTTATTCAATCCTCGTAACCACCCTACAGTCATCAGCAACCCCATTTTACAGATGAGGAAACTGAGGGGCAGAGAGGTTAAGAAACTTGCCCAAGGTCACAAGCTAGCAAGTGACTGGTCTGGGATTTGAACCTGCACCAGGTGTGTGCCTTGTCCAGGCAGTGGGTGGGGGTGGCAGGCCCACAGACAGCAAACAGTGGCTATAACCTGGGCTGTGGGGGCCTGTTCCCCCCACTCACTGACTCTAAGAGTGATCAGACAGCCTTTTCTTAAGGCTTTTTCTGCTGAAATTAACTAGCCTTTTCTGACCCTGGCAGCCTCTGAAGAGCTCTGAGTACTTGAGATCCTGTATTAAGGAAAAATTGGAAAACATTAAAAAATAGGATTCAGTGGGGGCCAGCCCAGTGGCACAGCAGTTAAGTTTGCACGTTTTGCTTCTCGGCGACCCGGGGTTCACCGGTTCGGATTCTGGGTTCGGACATGGCACCGCTTGGCACGCCATGCTGTGGTAGGCGTCCCACATATAAAGTAGAGGAAGATGGGCACAGATGTTAGCTTAGGGCCAGTCTTCCTCAGCAAAAAAAGAGGAGGACTGGCAGTAGTTAAAAATACTCTCAATTTCATGGTCACTCAAAATGACTGTTGATAATTTGCATATTTTCTTTTCCTCTTTTTTCCTGTGGAGAAAACTTTTGCAGAGTTGTAATCACACTGTCACACAATTTTGAATTCTGCTTTTTCACTTAACATTTTAGCCTAAACATTCCTATATTCCAAACAACTTGTGAATGTCATTTAAAATGTTTTAAATTTTATAATAAAAAAGTATAAATTGTTTTTATTTTTAAAATTTTTTATTTAAAAAATAAAACTTTTTAAATTTTATCTTGTTTAAATCTTATTCTTAGATTTAAACAAGAATTCAAATATAGTACACAAAGTCCTCATTTACCCTTCACCTGGCCTCCCCTAATAATAACATTCATTTATCAAAACTAAGAAATTTGGGGCTGGCCCGGTGGTGCAGCAAAGTGCGCAAGTCCCGCTTCGGTGGCCCGGGGTTCACAGGTTCGGATCCCAGGTGCAGACATGGCACTGCTTGGCAAGCCATGCTGTGGTAGGCGTCCCATGTATAAAGTAGAGGAAGATGGGCACAGATGTGAGCTCAGGGCCAGTCTTCCTCAGCAAAAAGAGGAGGATTGGCAGCAGATGTCAGCTCCAGGCTAATCTTCCTCAAAAAAAAAAAAAACCTAAGAAATTAATGTTAATACTATTAATTAAACTCCAGACTTTATTGAGTTTCATTAGTTTTTTCACGAATGTTCTTCTTCTGTTCTAAGATCCAATCTGGGATACCACGGTGCATTTAGGTGAATATCATTTTTAGTGGCTGCGTATTATTTCATTTAGTGAATATTCTAACAAGTTTTTTAAAACCTCTTTGGCTGTTGTACATTTATTTGCATTGTTTGTAGCTTTTCTTTTAACAAAGCATATTTGAAAACAACAAATGCTATTTAAATAGAAGCCCTGCTGACCAGCAGCATATATTTACTAGTTAGTGGTCCTGCATCATCCCAGGCACACACACCCCGGTGTGCAGATAAGGAAACAATCGGTTAGGAGACCCGCTCAAGGCCACACGGTGCCAGCAGGACAGGGGCTCAGGTCTTCCTGCCCCTAAATCCTGACTGCAGTGACCAATTGTCCTCTAATTGAAACTCTGTCCCATCAAAGTGTTAGTGCAGCTTTTATTCAGAGTTGTTCAAAGGAGTCCAGGATGAGTAAACTAGAGCAGAAAGGTTTTAGAGAAGGAAAAACTCTTTCTGGCTTTTTCCATGACACTCTCGGTTTCAGGAACACTGACTTACTGCCTGATGGAGATCTGCAAAGATGGCTGACCCAGCGAGTGGGCGGGCCTCACTTCCCCTTCTGCAAAGCGGTGATGATAACAGTACCTCCCTCATGGAGTTTCCATGAGTTTCCAGGGTTGAAAAAAGTCAGGTATGGGAGGCCTTGACATAGCCCCCGGCCTGCTGAGTGCCCAGCAGATGGGAGCCTAGTGGGTCTAGGGAAGCCACTCTGCCATTATCTATGTCCTGCACCCCGAGAGCCAGCCCTGAGGGCAGTTCTGCTGTAGAGGTCGCAGGCTATGCTGAAGGGCCCTTGGGGAGAGGGAGTGTTGCTCCCCATCTCCCACCGCTCCAGTCGTGCAGGCCTGTTTAGGGCCCAGCTCAAGCACCAGCTGTGGTGGGGCTATTCTCTACCAGCTCACTTAACGATCCTAACAACCCTAATGAGGTGGATGCACTTAACAGAGCTGCGGAAGGGGCAAGACTTCCCGGGATTTGAACCCAGGAAGTCCACGATCTTAACCGCTACACCGCACTGGCCTCCTTCCCCCACAGTGGCCTTCCGGGTCCTCTCCCTGCCACTGAGCGCCCAGCCGCTCAACTTCTCTAGCTCTGAGGGCCACGCTCAGGCTCAGTGCTCCACTACCCAACAGAGAGACGGAGAAAGTGCCTGGGCGGGCAAAGCAGGCGCACCAAGGAAGGAAAAGAGAGAGGGAAGCCAGGAAAGGAGGAAGGGAGGAAGCAGGGGTGGGAAAAGGAACAATTTTGGAATTAATTTGATTTTTTTAATTAAAAATTAAAGCACTTTACCTCTGATCTTCCTCCCCAAAACCCATAACCCCTTTTCAATCATGAGAAAAACATCAAAAAAATCCCATTTGAGGGATATTCCATAAACTACCTGACATGGCCTTCTCAAAACTGTCAAGGTCATCAAAAACAAGGAAAGTCCAAGAAACGGTCACAGCCCAGAGGAGCCTAAGGAGACATGACGACCAGTGCGGTGTCCTGGACGGGATCCTGGGACAGAAAAGGACAGGAGGTAAAAACTGCGGGAATCTGCCTAAAGCGCGGACTCTAGTTGTCACTAACGTGTCAGTGTTTGATCATTTGTAACAGATGTACCGCATTAACAGAGGATTCTAATAATAGGGAAAACCATGTGAAGGGTATATGGAAATTCTCAGTACTATCTTCACACTTTTTCTGCAAATCTAAAACTTCTAAAATAAAAAGCTTATTTAAAAAATGAATCGAAGTAGTCACCAGGAGAAATCTTCGGAGTCGGACATCCTATTATCCGTGCTGAGTGGGGCCCCATAATCTTTCAGCGGAGAGCCTCTGAAGACCCTAATCATCGGGGCCTGAGCCACCCCCTGCGCCATCCTGGCTGTGTGGCCGTCTGCAGGGCTGCCCAACTGGTGCCTGGATGGCGAACTGGCTGAGGGCAGGCCCCAGAGACTTAGTGATACCCGCTCTGGGCCTCCCTCAGTGCAGACAATGTTTACTAAATGCACGTGGGCTGGCCAGGGCCTGAGCTGCCCCACTTCCAGGCAGGACAGTTAAGATGGGTGCAATTCACACCTGCTTGTGAAATTCAAGGTCTGAGCTGGAGCGAGACCCCAAGGAACCAGGGGGACCTCCTGAGGTTTAAGCAAACAGACACTGACCTCTGACAATAGAAATGTAAACAGCCCTTGATGGGTTTGCTCACACGTTTTCACTCCACTCTTGGTGCATGTCTGCCCAAGTTCCCTTAGCCCAGGAGTCAGGGAAGCCAGTTAACAGCAGTAAATTATCCAAATGGTTTCCAATCAGATCTAAGGACTTAGCCCCAGGGCACAGCCCCGCCCCTGGGCTGACAGCCTGCCCCAGTGACCCTGGTTTTGAGGGACACCAGCCCCCCCTCCCAGCCTGCCCACCTCTCCAAGCTTGCTGGCACCTCTTCGCACCCCAAGCTGGCCTCATCAGCAGAAGGGATTAAGGCAGGTATTAAGGCCTGGCTGGGCGCGGCAGACAGGGCGCGGTAGACAGGGCACGGCTCACTGTGCCGCTGGTACACGAGGCACAGCTGTTCACCGGCCAGAAGCGGCCCTGATCCTCTCCACTCACTTGATCCCAGCCTCCCTCTGCCTCTGGCTGAAGTTCTCTCCAGTCCAGCCTCACAGGGCAGTGGCCTATGATCACTTGCACATGGGGCTGGGCCCCGGAATGGGAGGTCGTGGTGGAGGTGAGGGAAGAATTGAGGGCTAAGCCAGGCAGGGGGACCTTGGAGACTTTTTGCAACTGGACTGAGGATGGAGCAGTGCAAGGCGAGAACCACAGGCAGGATGGGCCTGACAGACCAGCAGACCCGCCTAGAAGGAGGACGCTCAAGCATACATTCAGGCTGAAAACTAGTCAGGGCCAGCACTGAGACCCTTCACCTAAGGAGCGAAGGCCTAATTTGTGCCCCACTCCGGCTCCCTTCCCCCAAAGCTGCTCTGTGAGCTCCTGCCAAGTACACACCTGACACCCAGGACGTCACAGTCACTCAGAGCTGCGGGCAAGACCCAGGCCAAATCTCCCTTTTGGAGGGGACCCTGCCCCCGCAGCCTCACTTTTTAGAAGAATTGCACAAGCTGCCCTGAGCCCTGCAGACAAGCCCGCCTCGCCAGCCCTAGCTCCCCCCTCTGCTCCCTGGAGAGAGCACCTTCCGCCCCAGTCCCCACACTGCAGGGGAGGCTGCTGGGATCCCCTTAAAGACTAGGGGTCAGTGTGTCCCTGGGCACGGAGCAGCATCCCTCAGTGGGACCACCTTCTGCTGCCTGCCCCTTGGCTGCAGCCCCCGCAAACCCCTGGCCCATCTGGGCGTGATCACTGAGGGGGTTAAAGAAAAGGCACCTTGGCCCTGGGCTGGGCTTTCTTGGAAGCAGCAGAACTTCAACTTAGCAGTCCTGCCTCGTGCCCACCCTGGAGGATCTCAAGACAAGCAAAGCTTGAGTTGTACGGTTCAAAGCATGTCCAGGACAGCGCCTTGTGAGGAGCAGTTCTCATCTTGTGCATCATCTCAGTACACGAAGTGCCGCAGCGTCACCCTAGGCTCGGCTAAGCTTCGAAGGCTCAGGGCTTCTCCCAGGGGATTGGTGTCCTCAGACTCGTCACAAGACTGTGAGGACTCAGGAGTGGGGTGGGCCCGAGACCACATCACCCCAGCCGTTGTCTGAAACTCGATGTCCTCATGCACAACGTTGATCAAAGAGGACAGTTGACATCTGGGTGGTGGGCTTGGGGGCATTTTCCAGCTGTTAACGGTAGCACGTGTAACTGCAACTTGCTGGACCTTGAGAGGAGAGAGGAAGGGGCATGAAGGGGTGGGCAGGCCCATCGCAGGGCTGGGAGAAGGCAGGTGCCTGTAGCCTGGGCACTGGGGGGATGAGAGTCAGCAGGCAGGAAGGAGGGGCGGTGGGGGGAGAGGATGTGGGAGGCAGGGCCAGCCTTTCCCTAGGAGGATCCAGAGCACACTGCTCTCCCTGCTTCCTGGGTCCTCCTCTGCTCCCAGGCTGCTGTCAGACCCTGCCTGGCAGCTGTCACTTCCCTCTGCCATTTGTTATGGCCTTTCTATCTCCTCCACTGGACTGTGGTTCTGTTTGAGAGAAAGGGCAGTGTCTTCGTTGCCCTTTGCAAACCTAGTGCTCACCGGTGCCTGACACGGTGACGGTGACTCCCACCTTGAGCTCCTCAGCCATGTCATGTGTAGACATCTCATCCCCCAGCCTGGCCCCCTTCCGCCTTGCTGTGCCCCAGCCTGGCGCCCAGGGAACCTTCTTCCTCACCACGTCCCTGCACTCCACCCATGCCTGGCCGTCCTTCAAGTTCACCTTCGGGGGGAAGCCCTCTGCAGCCATCCAAGCAGCCAGCTGCCCTCTGCGAACTTGGCTTTGTATCACTCCTAACACGCACAGCCATCCGTGTGTTAACAGAGCAGGAACTCGACCTCATCTGGGTGTTGAAATCATCCTTTGGGGAGGTTGGGAGCATGGGCCTGGGAACCATGCTACCTGGGTTCAAAACTTACTTCTGCCTTGTTCAAGCCACACGACCTTGGGCAAGACGCTTAACCTCCTTGTGCTTTTCCCTCAGTCTGAACTGGCGTGACCATCACAACTCCTCACAGGGAGTTGAGGATCAGTGCGAAGAGCTGGGACAGGGTTGGGCCCTCAATAACACTGAGTGGTTTAAAGGGTGTCTCTGGCACCTGGTGGAGACCTGGCTGGTGGCTGCAGGGCCCCATGGGAGCAGGGAGGCCTGTGAGATGCTGCTGCCCTGGGGCCTCCTTCCTCTTGCTGCTCCCTTAGAGCCCAGCAGGCTGCCCCCTCCCACACCTTACCCTCCCCGCCCCCTCTGCACTGGGCTGGTTCCTCCTGGGGCGGGACCTCAGCACAAGAGGTTTTCTTTCCAGCTGACCTTCCTTTACCACGTCTGCAAGTTCAAGCTCAAAAGCCCCCCGCGCCTAGAAAGGCTAAGTGCAGGACATCACTCAGATCTGACGACATTCTCTCTCTGGAACTGACTGCTCTCTTTTGGTGCCCACCATCCCTGTCCCAGTTCTCTTGCAGAACCCACAGAACTCTCTCTCCACTGCATTCTGCAGCCCTGGATGTGGTGGCCTGCTTGTGGCCCCTCGGCAGTCCCTAATCTCTGCCTCTGCCCAAGGGCTGCTCGGGCCACTAACTGCACACGTGCTGGGCAGTGAAAGTGCCAGAGAGCACATCGCCTCTGGAGGCAGCCCTCAACCCAGGACAGATGGCAGCTGGTGGATAAATGAAACTTCGAGGCCTGTAGAGGTCCCAGCCAGGCTGAGCTCCAGGGGCCCTCTGCAGGAGCTCGCTGGATAATGCCCCTGGGTGGGTCTTCCTCCCTTCCTTGTCTTATTTCCCCACTCCCCTATCCTTGCTTCCTAGGACCACCTCCCAAATAAACCACTTGCACTTGAATTTTTGTCTCAGGGTTTGCTTCTGGGTGAACTCAAACCAAGATAGACGCATTTGCTTACGTTAAGACCAGGACCTGTTGCGTTTGTCTTTGTGTTCCCAATGTCCAGCATGTGGAAGACCAAAGAGATGAATAAACCTGCAGTTCTTCTGAATTCTTCCACACACTCCACACCTGCATAGGAATCTGACAGTATGCTCAACCTTTCATTAAGAGGATTGAACTCAGATTTAGTCAGAGTTCTCTGTTGCAAGCAACAGAAACTGACTCCAGCTCACCAAAGCAGAGAGGAATTTAATGGAAGCATGCGTGTGCGCATGTGGTGGTGGTGGTGGTGGCTCCCAGAAGTGATTGGGGGCCGGAGGACCAGGTTCGGGTTGGTGGGAAGCCAGCGAGCTCTGTGGGCCCACTGCTAGTGGCTTAGTAGAAACAGGCTGACCTCCAGGTAGAAAGGATCTCCATCTTTCCCCACGTCCTACAGTCACCTGCTTCAGAGTCAACATCCTGAAAGAGAGGGGCTGCTGAGTCAGACCTGGGTCACAAGCCACCCCCCAACTGCAGCAGGTAAGGGGAGGAGGGGCTGGCCCCTTCAGCTTCCGCAGAGGAAGATGCCACTACTCTCCCTCAAGACCCCCCGGAGGGATCTCCAAGAGAGGCTGGAGTACCTGTCGGAAGAACCCCCTTGAGTGGAGTTGGATGGTGACCACCAAGAAATGCAATGTTCATCAGACTTTATTCCTTCTCGCCTGCTCAGAGGGCAAAGCTTAGACTATGAGTTACCGCCACCCTCCACCCTCCATGCCCTCTGCCAAACACCGGTCTTTCTCTGCCCCGTTTCAATACCTCTTCCCATTCCTCAGTTACTGTCTCTAGTCTCTGACCATCAACCCTGCCTATTACCACCTCCTCCCCCAGGCATCCGGCCTCCAGCTACTGCCTGCCAGGTGCCCAGCGCTCGTGCCAAAGCTGCTTTTCCCATCTCTTGCCTGGGGGATATGATACACTTCTCTCTAGAGCCTTTTGTGACTGTCAGTGACCAGCCTATTCCTGTCCTGGGCTAAACTCATCATGGGCTCCTTCTCTCCAGGCCTTGTTGCTTCCTCTTCCTCTTCCAACTCTACCACCCACTGGCTGGGCCTTCCTGGCAAAATGACTCAATGTCTCCTTTCTGCCATCATTTCATCCCATGAGTCTTTGCTCAGATGCAAATACTTTATGTGCCTGCAGTGTCATTCTCCCATTGTTACTTTACAGATCCCACCTCTTTCCTGGCAAGCCCTCTAGTCTGTCCCTGTGCCCTCAGCCACTACACGGTGGCCAAGTCTCAGATTACCTTCACAAGCATTTAGTGAGTGAGGAAATGGCTATTTTCAAGGCTTGATTCCAGACAGTGGAGGAAATGAGCACACAGCAAGCCCTAGTCTGCGGGGGGCTTCCTCCACTGAAGAGAGAACAAGACGTGCTCACTGGAGATTTTTAAAACACAAGAGGGCATACAGTAAATAACCAACTGGGTGGGTGGTTTACAGCGCTGTGGGAGTTCACAGGGCCAGCAGGGAAGGGGGACAGGAGGACCCGGGGAGGAGGGAGCATTGCCTGAGGCTGTTTGGAAGAGAGGGTAGTATAGGAGACCTCGTTCCTCAGGGGAGAGTCCAGGGGAAGTTCCGACAGAGAAGTTGTTGGCCAGGTGGTGCTGGAAGGTCAGAGCCGAGGTAGCTGTGGGAGTCACCCCCACCGAGACGATATTTGAAGTTAGGAGAATAAATGAGGACTTCCAGGGGGAGAAGAGCTGAGGGCTGAGGGGGTAGGCTTTGCAGAAAGCCCAAGGGCAACCGTGGGAGAGAGAGGCAGAGGCAGAGCCTGAGGGAGGCAGAAACTCCTGTTTATCTGACAGCTGCGGCCATCGTGACCCGCTTTGGACTCTAAGCTCGCCTTCCTGTGTGGGGCACCTGTCGGGGTCCTCACTGACCTCTGGCATGACTTTCAGTCACTGGAAGTGGGCTTCCTGCGATCACTCGCACTGCTTCCCGAATCCACTCACTTCTCCCTCCAAGGAAGTTAAGAACAGTAAGACATGGCTTCTGTCAGAGAGAAAAGGGCTGGAATTCAAAGCCTCCTTCAACTATACTGCCTTCTCCATCCCCGAGACTATTCAGGGGATTTCAAGTGTAAACCCCCTCAACCTCCTGCTCCCACACCCTTCCAATGATCTCCCTGTGTGCTGCCCTCGCCACCTCTCTCCAGGTTCACAGGAAAACGTGTCTTCTCTCAGCTGGAGCTAATGTCAGGGCCAGTCTGTGCGCCCTGGCTGCTCCACACTGAGAACCTCCTGCTCTATCCCTCACTCCTTATTTCCAGGTTCCATTTTCAAGTCCTCTCTCTCCCTACTGACATCTTTGTAGGGCACATACAGGCTCCCTTCTGTCCTATCACCCTCCACCCATCCTGTCTTCCCTTTGCTCTTCTCTTCATAGCCGAGTTCCTCGAAAGAAGGGTGTACGCTCGCCATCTTTTCTTACTTCCCCTTCATTGTTGGCTCATTGCATTCCAACTTCCCCACTCCCAACTGCACTAACACTGCTGTCAAAGGTTGCCAGTGATGTCACAATGGTTCCCCATCTGGGATTGGTCTTCCTCTCCCTGGAATGTTCTAATGGCACCTCCTCAGAGAACTCTTATCTTTTTCATAGAATTTATCTAAAATAATTTGCTGTGGTTCTCCCAACTAACTGTATGCTCAGCTATAATTCACAAACTCATTTAGAAGTACTTCCTATGTTCCAGGTGCTGTTCTAGCACTGTGAGCGTTAACTCATTTAGGTCCTGTGACAACGACCTATGAGGAAGGACTCTTATCCTCATTTTACAAATAAGAAAACCCAAACCCTAAGATCTGTGTGGTTTGAGCAAGATGACGTGTTCACTGTGTGGTACAGCCGGACTGGGAACATAGATTGTGTGTCTCCAGGGTCCCTGCTGGACCACTACGCCATGCTGTCTCTCAGAGCAGGGATCTGCGGGTCGCGTCCATGGTATTCCCAGTGCCCACAGCAGTGCCTGCTGCCTGGTAGATACTCAATAAATATATGCTGCCTGGATGACGAAATACCCGTCACCGACGAAATACCCTTCACCTACGAAAGACAAACCCTGTCCACTTGCTGAATATGGCAAGAGAGGTCCTCTAGATAGGATTCGCCCTTCTGCAGACTCAGCTCTTGTCGGCCATCCTGCTGTGTCCAGAGCACACCAGGGATGGGAAATGCCCTTCTCCCATTGTTTTCTTGGTGAACATGAAAACCCTAGTAACTTTCAAGCGTCACCTCCTCCATGAAGCCTTTCCTCCCCCACAGCAGAATTGGCCCCTCCCACCTTTGTGCCCTCACAGTATCCTGTGCAGACCATGTATATATCCTGCACAGACCTGATGTCCATCATGGCATTCGTCCTGCTTTACACCTCATGTGCATATACGGTTACTATTAGATCCTTTCACTGTTTCAAAGGGCCTCAGTTTGGAAGCTAATCAATTTGAGGAGTGGCAGAAAAAGCAGCTATCAGAAGACGTGGTTTATGGTTCCAATTTCATTGCAAACTAGCTGCTTGACCTTGGCCCAGCTGCTTAAGATCTTTGGGGCTCAGATTGCCAGTTTTTAAAATGAGCGGGTTGGAATACACGACCTCCGAGCTCCATGGCAGCTCTAAGGTTCTGTGATTCAGAGCTGATACCCCCTTAATAGACGAGGACCTCGCAGATACTATAGGGACGAAGTTAGTGCTGCAGCAAGTGAACACCAGCAAGTCCTGGAAGAGGGAGATGCACTGCCCTAGTTCCCCAAGCTGTGGGAACTGTCTTCCTCTCTCCCTTCTCCAGCTCTGCCACACTATTGTTTGCCTATGCAAGTTGGCATTTTCCAAGTAGTCGTGTTTTTTTTCTTCTCTCTTTAGACTGTAAGCTCCTTGAGGGCAGGGTCCAAGTCTTATATTTTAAATCTTGAGGACCCAGCAGGTAGTTAGAAATTGGCATGAATTTTGTGATTGATCGTGATAATAGTCATACAGAGACCGAATCAAATGTGAGACAGTGGGTGGCAGGTTTAATCAGAAGTGTACCAGGTAATGAACAGAAAGCAGTGGAAATTAGGGGCATTGTTCTAGTATCAATAGCATCCAGATTACATGCCTGTGTATTAAGGAGCAACTTAAAAGCATATAGAAAGAAATATGGTCCTTTAAGAGGAATAACTAGGATTCAGAAAAAGGAAGCCGCTGCAGATTCTATATTTATCTTCTAGCAAGCTGGAATTGAGAATTCAATTTGCCTACTTTTCTGAATTTGTTGACTATAAAAATGCATAAAATATAGAAAATAGTAAATGAGTACGAAATACTCAAATGAAATAGAAAATGCTGAAATATATTATAGAGTATACTAACTTTTGTGAAAAACATGAACCTTCACCAACACAAACATAATGAATTAAAAACACAGATGGGTAAATCTTGTGATCCGTTTCAATAATAAAGGATTAAGGTATAGATGTAGTGTCTCCCACATTCCTTATACCAATAGAATTACACCGGAATAGAAAGTGAACTAAGGATATGCAGCTCACCAATAAGAAGATAATTAGATCAACCGTAGAAACAGATCTAGTAATGACGATCAGATCAAAACAGGAACTCTAAGCTGTGGCAAATCAGGTATAATTGCAAAAAATACACACAGAAATCTCACCTTAAAAGCAGTCAATATTTTCTTGCAGTCCCCCAGAGAGTGTGAAAAAAGATTTAGCCAGAAAGCAAAAGAGTACTGAATACATTTCAGAGTTTAAATATTTAGCAAGCATTTTGGAAAATAACGATTGTCATTTTAAAATTGCACACTTCAAATATAATGAGCAATATAATTAAGGACGCATTTTGAAAAAAAATTGACTGGAGATATTAAGTTTATAATATCACATCAAAAGCTGTGCTCCAGGGGCATGCCCAGTGGCGCAGCAGTTAAGTTCGCACATTCTGCTTTGGTGGCCCCGGGTTCGCCGGTTCGGATCCCGGCTACGGACATGGCACCACTTGGCACACTATGCTGTGGTAGGCGTCCCACATATAAAGTAGAGGAAGATGGGCACGGATGTTAGCTCAGGGCCAGTCTTCCTCAGCAAAAAGAGGAGGATTGGCAGCAGATGTTAGCTCAGGGCTAATCTTCCTCAAAACAAACAAAAAGCTGTGCTCCAAAATGGACTCTAAAGATGACACCCAGAACCTGGAGACAGCAGAAAGCCTAGGTCACAAGAAAAGCTGGAAGAAAAAGAGAGTGAAGAACTTGGCCTAAGAGTCTCACACTTCCCTCCCGGCTCGGTCTGCAGTAGCAGGGGCTTTAGTTTCCAGCACCTCTATGCCAGACGAGGTGACAGCTGCAGGGACAGACTACCTGGAATAACTGCTATGGCATACCCTCTGCTCCAGATGAAACGCGCCTCTCCTACTCTATCAAAACCAAACTCCTCTGGACAGGTTCAGCGCCCTCCAGCCTTCACGCTCCTCTGTCCCTCGAAAGCGTTATTCATCAATCCAATAACCATGAACAATGAGTGCCAACTTTGCCCGGCACTGTTCTAGGCACTGTGGATGCAGCGATGAATGTGAACAAGTTGCACAACACTCCCTGCCCCGTGGGGCTGACACCCCAGTAGAATTCTACACCCAGTTCTTACTGTCTACAGTATCTTCCAGCGATTCACTGTCATGATTGTGCTCTGAGTATGTCACATCTTCATGGTATCTCCTCCATGATGTGAAGTCTTCAAACGTAAAAGCCAAGGTTTCTTTTTTTCCTTTTGTGAAGAAGATTGGCCCTGAGTTAACATCTGTTGCCAATCTTCCTCTTTTTTTTCTGTATGTGGGATGCCACCACAGCATGGCTTGCTGAGTGGTGTGTAGGTCTGCACCCGGGATCTGAACCCATGAACCCTGGGCCACCAAAGCAAAGTGTGTGAACTCAACTACTACATCACCCAGCCAGCCCCAAAAGCCAAGTATTCTAATTTCAAAGTCTCCTTTCTCCATCCAAGCACTGAATTTAGTGTTGGGCACAAGGTACTCAGCAATAAAACAAATCCTTCACGTAGGAAAAAAAGAAATAAAAAGAAATAGAGCAACCAGTAATCTTTCCTAAATAAGTTGTCTTCCAGCTTCCAAAGGGCATTTGTGTCCATTAGTCCATTTGACTCCACAATAATCCTAGGAGGGGACACGGCAGGAGTCATTATTTGTGTTTTATTAAAGAGAGAACTGAGCTCTCACCAGGTTAAGGGACTGGGCTAAAAACACACAGCTGGGAAAGACCCCTCACAAAGCAGCCTTAGCTGAAGCTGACAAAAGGCAGTGAAAGCCCTTGGAGAAGACGGGCAAAGATCAGACCCACTGGGAGGATCTAGGAACAGGCCTAAGTGTTTAGGCAGCTGGCCCTTTGGGGACGAGTCTGGGGCATTGCAAGACTACCACCAACCCAGCCAGGGAACAAGCACAAGGTCGCAAACAGACCCTGCAACCCCAGGGTGCCAGAAACTTCCCCCTACCGGGCACAGGTGTAGTGAAGCACAGGGTGCCGCATCTTTCAGCCTACTCTCTGGGAAGGCAGGAAGTCCCTTCCTTTCAGAACTGGAAGTGAGGGTGGCCCGGCCCCAAGGGAAGCTAAGGCTGCGAAAAAAGCAGGTGGGTCCCAGATGCTGCTGCAGCTGCCCCAGCAGCCAAAGTCAACCCCATGAGTCAGGAGAGGCGGGTCTGCACAAAGGCAGGCCATATGCCTGGAAAAAATGGCAGCAAGGAGGCACTGGGCCAGGGAGGGCTGTGGTCCCCTAGTCCCAAGGAAAGGGTGAACCATGTTTCATGAAACTTATAAGAATCTCATGTGCCATCCATGTTCAATGATAAGAGAATCTGCAGGACGTTTCTGACTTCCTTTTTTTTCCCTGATCAATTCAGATCTTACTTCCAGACTCAAAAGAAAACTTTCTATCCCTTAAAACTCACAATCACCCAACACCAAGTTTTTATCCTTCCTAGGGTTGACACGTAAGTATGTGATACTGATTTTGGAAGGTCTTTTGCAGGATACAAATGTGGCTTGGACCTTGCCTTCAAGGAACTTATAGTCTAGCGGAGGCAGATGGAGGGAGATGTTCAGGAAATGTTAAGTAATAAAACTAGAGAGTATGTGATTAAATGCACCAAACGATGGGTAAAGGTAAGTGGGCAAGCAAGGTCTACGCTGCTGATGACGGAGTAGGTGACAATGGCCGACTCGGAGAAAGGAAAGAACACAGCAGGTGGGGAGCAGCAGAGTGATGGAGAGAAGGACGGAAAGAAAGAGACCGCAAAAGGAAGGTGATGATGAGAGAGAGGCAGACAGAGAGAGTCCGGGAAGAGAGGAATATGGAGATCAGAGACACCGGGATGGGGGAAGAGAGACTAGGAGCTGGGCAAGAGGAGAAGCTATGAATAAGTCACTACTTATACTCTATGCAAATTTGCTTAAATATTGAAGCATCTTTACTCAAAACTTTCCTTAAAACTAGACGTCAGAAGCACTGTAAATGCTCATCATCGGAGGCTATTATGTGCCAGATACTGAGCTTTAAGACATTATTCATTTCATCCCAAGAGATAGGTATTTTTCCCACTTTATAGATTAAAAAGCAAAGCTTTGAGGAGTTGATTAGGACCGAATAGCTAGTAGCCAGCAGAGCAGACCTGTAGTCGCTGATGCCAAAGCTTTTTAACCACGGGTTATGTTACCTCCCAGGAGATCTTCAAGACCAACTTCTTTATTTTGGATTAGACTTCCACTCTTTGGGACATCCTGGCTTCCTCCTTAACATTCAAGGCATGCAGAGAAATTGGAAAGTTTAACTTAGTTGACCAGACTACAGAGTTCTCTTTTCCCCACTGAAGTCTCCCAAAAGGAGGAGCTTTGCTTAGCTTTGCTCCTTCTTGGCTTGCTCAAGAAGGCAGAGATTTGTTAATATCTTATTAAGGCACAAGCTTAATCCAGCCAGGGGTCCTCTTCTCAATGCTTCTAGAAGGAATTTTTCTTCCTTTCTACCACTCTCTCCATCTCCCTGCAG